GCGGCAACCGTCGCGCACCCAACTCGCTGGGCTGACTCTACCCTGTCTTCCGAGCCCAGTCCAACATAGCTGGCACGACCAGCCACGCCAAGGCCGGTGCAATCCATCCAGCACAACAACCTAATATTGTCAAACCGCAAGTTCAACCAGCCAAAGTCCGAATGCCGCCCGGGTCTGTGACATCCCAGACTGAGCTGTTCAGGAGTTGCTGCGCAAGCCATCAAACACATGCTCAGGAACCAGCTTCATAGCCTCTCACGAGAGCCCTGCGTAATTTCCAGCCCCAAGGATTGGTCTAGTCCAAACCTCTTGGAGACCAGCTGCAGCGAGCAAATGGCAACGGGCTTCGGCTTCGGAGCGCGCTTCGCTTTGCTTTGCGAGCAGCAACTCCTGGCCTACGCGGCCAGAGCTGCGAATTTCGGTTTGCGAGCACCAAGCCGCTAACGCAAACGGCGCATGGCTGCGTTGACTGGACAAAGCAGAATGCTTCGGCACCAGACCATGGCTTGTTTGACAAGAAGCAACACATCAAGACAGAGTCTTCGCAACCTGAGAGCATGCGACTGGAAGATTCAGGAGCTGCCTGTGCTTTCAAGGACCTGTTCTGGCCACACGAGTCAGTGCCACATGTTTGTTAAGCACTGGGGCAGACTTTACACTGGCTCTGGGCGGTCAGTCGCCTGTGCCCTTGTTGGACGCTCACGCATTCTGGGTAAGATTGTCGTGGTTTCTGCAGACTTCTTGCTCAGTACTGCAGTTGAAACGCGCAAGCAGCTGCAATGCAAGCTGGCGGCTTATTTCCCGCAATGCGCTCCACGACACTCATTGTGGCCTGGAAGACGGCGCTGCAAAAAGCTTCCTCATCGCAGCTGCGCTGCCCTGTTCGTGGTGCAAAAACTGCGCGCAACAACGTCTGCTTCGAATGGCTGCCCGAGCTTGACGGCTAACCTGGAGCCGAGCACGCCCACTTGTGAAGTTGGCGCTGGCAAGCGTGCGAGATAGCAGTCTAGGGAGCCCGTGCCCAGGATGATGCCAAATTTCAAGCTGCATTTCATGCCTGAGCACTTCTAAAAGGGCGCCGTGCCACCAAGCGCAGGCAAGTGATACGGACTGAGATGTCCATGCGACGCCAGTATGTGAACATTGGCACCAGCGTTGCTTGCGCTGCAGCCTGCAAGTCCTGGTTTGCTGCTGGCACGGCTGACTGGAATGCACAAACACAATCAAACCCGGCCTCTTAGCGAACCCATTGCCAGTAAGAAGCCATGAAAACTTCGCTGCTCACATGCCCGCTGCGCCCGCTGCCAAAGGTCACGCGGCAGGTCTGCACGAATTCAGCAAACCAGGCCTTTTGTTGCGTTCATGTGAACAACGGGCGCTTCTGAAAACCAAGCTGGCAGCTCGCCGCATCTTGCCTTTCCTGCCTCTGAAGCGCAAACGCCGAACACGTGCAACAAATTGGGTCTGGGGCGCGCATGCCATGATGCCACACTTGGAACGTTGGCGCCGCACCGACTTAAATAGCGGGCTGCAAGTCTGAAGACTCTGAAAATTCACTCTCCTGCCGCCGCCAGCCGCACCCTCCCTAAGCTCATGATCGCAGCTGCCACGTCTGACTCGAACGCATGAGTTCCGAAGCCAAACTCCCTGAGAGCAAAGCGTGTTTGAGGCTCACAGCTTTTCAGGCAGCTGACTCAGCCACAAGGCTCTGTGAAGCACGTTTACTGGAAGTCTGCACTAGAAAGCCCACGCAGAAGCCTGCTACTCACAGCAGGGACTACGCCTGCCTGGTCCCTGCGTCTTGTTTGAAGTGACAAATGGCTGGACTGTCGCAGGGAATTTCTTGCCGGCACAGAAGGAAACAGTACCACAAGGCTTGGAGCTGACACTGGTGCACAATTGCTTGCGTTTGGATCAGGCGTGCCCCCCTCGCACTCCGGTCAGGATCTGCTGAGCTTCTGCTGCGCAAGCGACTGCAAATGCTGCACAAGCGCTGGGGCAGGCTGTCAAGAACCCAACGGTGTGAGGCCTTCGTTAAACGGACACTCGCGCATTCTGGGTAAGATTGACGGTTTCTGCAAGCTTCTTGCTCAGTACTGCGTTGCCAGCTGCAACGCAAGCCAGCCGTTGCTTTCCCGCAATGTGCTATTGCGGCTTAGAAGACGGCGCTGCAAAAAGCTTGCTCGTCGCATCTTTGCTGCCCTGTTCGTGGCGCAAAAGCTGCGTGCGGCAAGTTCTGCTTCGAATGACTGCCCGAGCTCGACAGCTGACTTGGAGCGGAGCACGCCTGCCTGTCAAGTTGACTTCAACACCCAAATGAGACGCAATCCGCTTCGCTACGCGGCAGCGTCACCTCTGCAAAACCTGCACAGTTGATACATGTGTAAAATACGACATTTCTGGGACAGAGTACGAGCGTGCGGCTCTCTCAGGCTGGCTGCAGAAGTGCGATCGCGCCCGCTCTCAAGGCGCGCACGCGCCTGCTTGTCAAGTTGGTTGAAATTCAAGGCGCTGATGAGCATGACGTCTTCCTCCAAAACTCGAAAAAACTCGAGCGCTGTCAGTGGCCTGTGCCCTTGTTGGACGCTCACGCATTCTGGGTAAGATTGTCGTGGTTTCTGCAGGCTTCTTGCTCAGCACTGCTGTTGAAACGCGCAAGCAGCTGCAATGCAAGCTGGCGGCATATTTCCCGCAACGCGCTCCACGACACTCATTGTGGCCTGGAAGACGGCGCTGCAAAAAGCTTGCTCGTCGCAGCTGCGCTGCCATGTTCGTGGTGCAAAAACTGCGCACGACAACGGCTGCTTCCAATGGCTGCCCGAGCTTGACGGCTAACCGGGAGCCGAGCACGCCCACTTGTCAAGTTGGCGCTGGCAAGCGTGCGAGATAGCAGTCTAGGGAGCCCGTGCCCAGGCTGATGCCAAATTTCAAGCTGCGTTTCATGCCTGAGCACTTCTAAAAGGGCGCCGTGCCACCAAGCGCAGGCAAGTGATACGGACTGAGATGTCCATGCGACGCCAGTATGTGAACATTGGCACCAGCGTTGCTTGCGCTGCAGCCTGCAAGTCCTGCAGTGCCCAGCCTTGCTCCTCCCTAAGCAAACACAATCAAACCCGGCCTCGTAGCGAACTCCCAAGAAGCCATGAACACTTCGCTGCTCGCATGCCCGCTGCATGCCCCGCGGCAGGTGTGCAGGGATTCCGCAAGAAAACTTGCAAAAAAGCCCGTGCGAGTCACATCAGAGATCGTACTTGGCTGGCGGATCTGGCCTGACGCATGTCGCGCCACGGTTGCTTGAATTGCGACGGCAGACGCCAAGCTCACGCGCCTTCCAACAACATGGTTTCGCCATCTGGGACCTTGACTGGACGCAGCGGAGTACGTCAGCGCACTGCCCCTCGTGCAAGACAAGGCCTTGGGCTCACGCGAACGGCAGCTTGGAGCTGTCTTGGCGCTCACGCAGTAAGTCTGTGGTGGTCTCTGCAGACTTTTCCTGCCTCTGAAGCGCAAGCGCCAGGCACGTGCAAGGGGCGCCCATGACATGATGCCACGCTTGGAACGCTGGCGCCGCATCGACTTAAATAGCGGGCAGCAAGTGTGAAGAAGACTCCGAAAGTTCACTCTCCTACCGCGGCCAGCCGCACCCTCCCTAAGCTCAGGGTCGCAGCTGCCACGTCTGACTCGAACTCATGAGTTCCGAAGCCAAACTCAACCCAATCCCTGAGAGCAAAGCTTCTTTGAGCAGCGAATTGGCTCACAGCTTTTCAGGCATGCGCCCGTTGCCGCCGGCAGGCTGGCTTAGCCACAAGGCTCTGTAACGCACGGCTATCAAGACAGCTTTACTGGAAGTCTGCGAAGCCTACAGCAGGAGTCTGCCAATAGCCCACGCAGAAGCCTGCTGAAAGCAGGGGTTCCGCCTGCTTGGTGGATCTGGGCCTCTACGCGCTCTTGGTCTTGTTTGAAGCAGCTGACGGCTGGACTGTCGCAGGGAATTTCTTGCCGGCGCAGAAGGAAACAGTGCCACAAGGCTTGGAGCTGACACCGGTGCGCAATTGCTTGCGTTTGGATCAGGCGTGCCCCCCTCGCACTCCGGTCAGGATCTGCTGAGCTTCTGCTGCGCAAGCGACTGCAAATGCTGCACAAGCGCTGGGGCAGGCTGTCAAGAACCCAACGGTGTGAGGCCTTCGTTAAACGGACACTCGCGCATTCTGGGTAAGATTGACGGTTTCTGCAAGCTTCTTGCTCAGTACTGCGTTGCCAGCTGCAACGCAAGCCAGCCGTTGCTTTCCCGCAATGTGCTATTGTGGCCTGGAAGACGGCGCTGCAAAAAGCTTGCTCGTCGCATCTTTGCTGCCCTGTTCGTGGCGCAAAAGCTGCGTGCGGCAAGTTCTGCTTCGAATGACTGCCCGAGCTCGACAGCTGACTTGGAGCGGAGCACGCCTGCTTGTCGAATTGGCTTCAACACCCAAATGAGACGCAATCGGCTTAGCTAGGCGGCACCGCCACCTATGCAAAACCTGCACAGTTGATACATGTGTGGGCTAAAATACGACATTTCTGGGACAGAGTACGAGCGTGCGGCTCTCTCAGGCTGGCTGCAGAAGTGCGATCGCGCCCGCTCTCAAGGCGCGCACGCGCCTGCTTGTCAAGTTGGTTGAAATTCAAGGCGCTGATGAGCATGACGTCTTCCTCCAAAACTCGAAAAAACTCGAGCGCTGTCAGTGGCCTGTGCCCTTGTTGGACGCTCACGCATTCTGGGTAAGATTGTCGTGGTTTCTGCAGGCTTCTTGCTCAGTACTGCTGTTGAAACGCGCAAGCAGCTGCAATGCAAGCTGGCGGCTTATTTCCCGCAATGCGCTCCACGACACTCATTGTGGCCTGGAAGACGGCGCTGCAAAAAGCTTGCTCGTCGCAGCTGCGCTGCCCTGTTCGTGGTGCAAAAGCTGCGCGAGCTCGAGCCACTGGCGCCAAGGCTTCAAGCTGCATTTCAAGTTCTTGCCTCAGCCAGCGCAAGATTTGCTGCAGTGCCTGGGCAGGGGCTTGACAGCCACGCAGGCGGCCACGGTGTTCCGAGACGCCAGTCTAAAGAGTCTCCTCAATGAGAGGCCTTGACTGGACACAGCGGAGTATGTTCGTGCAAGGCTGTCGGTCTTCCCAGAAAGGGCCTGGTCTTCACGTGAACAACGGCATGTTTTGCTGCCCATGCTTTCGGGTAAAACTGCGATGATTTCTGCAGACTTCTTGCTCAGCACTGCTTTTGAAACGCGAAAGCTGCAATGCCACCACACACATCTTTGAATGCTCGACACTTTGATTGAACCAAGCCATTTACTCCGCCCCACAACACCCCGATCGCGCGCAAATGAGACGCAATCCGCTTCGCTAGGTGGCAGGCACGCCTCCGCAAAAGCTGCAGAGTTGAAAGATGTGTGGGCTAACATAGTACATCTCTGGGACAGAGTAGGAGTGTGCGGCGCGCTCGGGCTGGCTGCAAAAGTTCTTCAAAGAAGCACGCACAGGAATAAACACTGACGCAATCAGTGAGTGCGATCACTCCAGCTCTCGAGGTGGGCGCGCACCTGCCTGTCAAGTTGGGTTCAACTCAAGGTGCTGATAAGCATGAGGGTGGGGAGCTGCTGCCAATTTTCAAGCGCTTCTGAAAGTCCGCGTGCAAGTGATACGGGCTGCGCGACGCTCTTCTGTGAACATTGGCGCCTGCGTTGCTTGTGCGGCCGCCTGCAAGTCCTGCAGTGTCCAGCTGGGACGGCTGATTGGAACGCACAAGCTCCACAATCAAACTTGACTTCTTTCCTGAGCGAACCCACTGTCATTGTGGCAAAGTTGACGCCGCTGCACAAACTTGCCCGTCGCATCTTTGCGGGCCTGTTCGTGTTCGTGGTGCGAAAGCTGCGTGCGACAACGTCGACTGACTGCCTCAACAGCTATCCTGGCGCGGAGCACGCCTGCTTGTCAAGTTGGAGTACTTAAGTCGCTTGCAAGCATACAGCGCAAGCTGGCGGGCGATTTTTGAGCACCGTTGCTCTGGAGAACATCTGCGGGCTGGCCTTTTCTGTAAGCTGGTCAAGCCCCGTGCCGGGCTTCCCACAGGAATGCGCACATGCTCTGCGCACGCTTCACAGGGTCAGAAAGCAAAGGATTTGCTCGCGCAGCGGCCTGTAAGTCAGCAAGCCCACGCGCCTTGTCCAACATCTCCTGTGGCAGCTGGCAGTTGCGGCTGCCCTGGCAGACCCACGCGCAAGCCGGGCAAACTCATCTCCCCCTGTTCAATCTTTTTGAGTCGCAGTCTGCCCAAGTCACACGCCTCCCACCAACGCTGCAAAACCATTAGGCTTGCAGCGGATTGTTTTCAGTGGACTTGGAAGGCAAGCTGCAGCCGTTTTCCTGCAATTTGCCCCAAGACGGGGCTGCAAAAAGTTTACTTGTCGCATCTCGCTTTGTAAGAGCCTGAAGAGCAAGCGCCAAGCACATGCAACAAACGCAGACGTCCATGACGTGATACCAAACTTGGACGGACTAACTTGGGGCCGCAAGTCTTGTGGCAAAGTTGACGCCGCTGCACAAACTTGCCCGTCGCATCTTTGCGGGCCTGTTCGTGTTCGTGGTGCGAAAGCTGCGTGCGACAACGTCGACTGACTGCCTCAACAGCTATCCTGGCGCGGAGCACGCCTGCTTGTCAGGTTGGAGTACTTAAGTCGCTTGCAAGCATACAGCGCAAGCTGGCGGGCGATTTTTGAGCACCGTTGCTCTGGAGAACATCTGCGGGCTGGCCTTTTCTGTAAGCTGGTCAAGCCCCGTGCCGGGCTTCCCACAGGAATGCGCACATGCTCTGCGCCCGCTTCACAGGGTCAGAAAGCAAAGGATTTGCTCGCGCAGCGGCCTGTAAGTCAGCAAGCCCACGCGCCTTGTCCAACATCTCCTGTGGCAGCTGGCAGTTGCGGCTGCCCTGTCAGACCCACGCGCAAGCCGGGCAAATTCATCTCCCCCTGTTCAATCTTTTCGAGTCGCAGTCTGCCCAAGTCACACGCCTCCCACCAACGCTGCAAAACCATTAGGCTTACAGCGGATTGTTTTCAGTGGACTTGGAATGCAAGCTGCAGCCGTTTTCCCGCAATTTGCCCCAAGACGGGGCTGCAAAAAGTTTACTTGTCGCATCTCGCTTGTAAGAGCCTGAAGAGCAAGCGCCAAGCACATGCAACAAACGCAGACGTCCATGACGTGATACCAAACTTGGCCGGACTAACTTGGGGCCGCAAGTCTGAAGACTCCAAGGATTCGCTGGCCAGGGTCACTTTCTTGCAAGTTCTGCACGCGCTCCTCCCCGAGGTCATAATCGCAGCTGCCACGTCTGACTCGAACGCATGAGTTCCGAAGCCAATCTCAACCCAATCCCTGAGAGCAAAGCTTCTTTGAGCAGCGAATTGGCTCACAGCTTTTCAGGCATGCGCCCGTTGCCGCCGGCTGGCTGGCTTAGCCACAAGGCTCTGTAACGCACGGGTACCAAGAGCTTTACTGGAAGTCTGCGAAGCCTACAGCAAGAGTCTGCCAATAGCCCACGCAGAAGCCTGCTGAAAGCAGGGGTTCCGCCTGCTTGGTGGATCTGGGCCTTTAACGCGCTCTTGGTCTTGTTTGAAGCAGCTGACGGCTGGACTGTCGCAGGGAATTTCTTGCCGGCGCAGAAGGAAACAGTGCCAGAAGGCTTGGAGCTGACACCGGTGCGCAATTGCTCGCACAATAGAATCTGCTGAGCCTCCGCTGCGGCGCCGAATGGAACCGCTGTCGATTTGAAGCACTCCGACGGATGCAAGAACCGTGCTTAGTGACCTGTCAGTACCAGAATCTGCCAGCTGGCTGTCCAGCAGACATGCGCACATGCTTCACGGAATCATCAAACTGCTCAGCTCGTGTCAGAGATCGAAATCGAGTCACCGGCGCATCCGGCCCAACCTGAGCAGTGGCCGACATCCAAACACGTCATGGCTGATGGGAAGCCGCGCGTCCGCAGATTCCGCGGCGTGGCTCTTGCTTCACACGTCTCTCCCTTCCGCGGCTTCCACGCATGTCAAAAGCTCTGTGTTTTTTTGATGGGCTTCTTAGAGTCAATGCAGTAGAACTCGCATTGAGTGGTGCTTACGCGCACCCGCTTGCACCAAAAGCATTTTTCTTGGAAAAAGTGAAATGCTGGCGAGAGCCAAAAAGATTAGAGCTGCGGCCCCCGAAAACAAACTTTGCACTACGCTCCGCGGAAGCTGCGGACTTCCGCGTTCCATTTTGGCACCGCAAGACGAAGTTTCTTCAGAGGAATATCGATCGCTTGCTGCTCACATGTTTCGATCGAAAAGCCAGATCACGGGTCCTACCAATTCTGCAGATGCCGCATGTTGGCTGCACAAGCAACAAGACCTGACTGATCAACAGCCATTGCCTCTGCCAATTGCGGCCCAGGATGCAAAGGAAACCCGCAGCCTGACTTCCGGCGAGATACTCAGCGGTACTCACATAGCTTGTCAACTCAAGAACGGCCTGGCTTGGTCAAGAAATTCCATATCCAGGTGAAGTGGGGCCAGAGCAATCCTCCATCAGGTCTCCGCGACAATCAGGAGCTTGGACCCAAGCGGCGCTGAACAATTGCAGCGAGGATGGGAGTCGGGAAGAAAACTGCCACAGCCTGCTGGAAAGACATGCGCAGGCGGATCAGCGGCGATGACGTCACGGCTCCGTGCTGACACGACATGGCAGCGTGACAAGAACGCTCGATTTTCAGATGCTTTGGTGGCTAGAGGGAAGCTGCTATCTGTGCGCGCACATGTGATGTTTGCAAACTCTACTCCTGTTGCGACGCAAGCCTCTGAGCCAGGAAGCACGCCAATGAAAAAAGATGCGTGGCCATTTGGCTGGCTTGGCGCTGCTTGTCAAACGCGGTAAAAGCAGAGCTACCAAGAGAGCTTGAGCAGCTAACATGCAATTGTGGCCTTCGCGCGTTTGCCAGCCCCAAGCGCCGGCTCCCAAATGCCATGTGGACCTACAGATCCCTATTGATTGGATGCGCGTCCTTTTGGATGAGTGTACTCCACCTCATTCTTGATGGGAATCAAAGGATGTTTGCATGAATTCAGTGAGGACTTGCTGGCGACCCGGAGTATGACGCCGAGACTGTGGCACCCACAATGACACAATGATATTCTATTTCCAGAATGGAATCATAGTTGCGCACTCTGAAGATGTCAGTACTTGTGCAGTATATTCGTTCTTGATACATGATTCTCTTGGGGGAATGTTTTTGGCTATTCGCATTTCCGAACAGAACATTGACTACTATGAAGTTGCAATATGTCTGGGGGGTATGCAATTCGATTTCATTACATTATTTCTGATGTAGCCTGAGAGGTCTATGCGCAGGGTCGATCATGCTTCATCATCGAACTCAATTCTTTTCTTTGCCTCAATGCGCGGACGTTTCCCCTCGACACAACACACGCCAAGCATCAGCTGATTGTCGCGACCTAAAAAATGTGAAACTACGGGGACACCTTGGGCCCAAGGCCGGCAGCAACACCCCCCAGCAAACACAACATGAGCGTCACCAGCAACTAAATGAAGAAACTGCAGTCGGGACACGTCCCCGACTCCAGTTCTTCCTGCCACCAAACGATGGAACCCTCAAGGGGGGGATAGCAAGGAACGGACCAACTTGAACAAAGCATCTTGCCCAGAGGCATTTGCGCAGAGCTACCCCTACTTGCGCAGAGCCGCAGAGCCGCAGAGCTTGCTGGCGCAGGGAAGCGTCTCGGCACAGTCTGGGCGTGGATGCTGTCTGAACCCGTCAGAAAGCGTCTGGGCTTGGGCGGAGAGCTGGCCCAGAGGCACGCCCGCTGGTGAAGCTTCCATAGAAGAATCGCGTGCGCGAGAGCTCAATGAGATTCTTCTATTTTCATGGGGGATAGGGTTTTCATTGCACGGGATTGCGACCTGCGGCAACCTCTAAACAGGAACTTCCTTGCTAGGCGTTCGGGGCAACTGCAAGAACAAGCCTTCACAAGCGTGTCTTTCCACATGGGGCGCCCAACCCTAAGCTTTTCCACTGTCTTCTGTTGCCGCGAGGGTGAAACCTTCCGACAATGCGCGTTGCAACGTCCACACGGCCGTGCGTAACACAGGTGTCATCGTTCGCCGCTCAGCAGCAATTCTGGCAAGGCCTGCGCTCGGCCATGGGGCTCCCCATCCTTAGCGCATTCTGCAGGGAGAGAGGTAAATGGAACGCACTCGTAACGCAACATGGCCATGGGTCAAAACCGTTTGGGATGTTATTTTGGGGTGCGTGCACCACCCATTTTAGTACATTTTGGTGGGGATTGGGATGTTCACTGGGGGTACGATTTGGCTCTTGACCCATGGCGCGTCATCAGCGCACTTGCCAAGCTCGGCGCTGAAGCTCTACAGGTCAGACTCTGAAAGTATGCGAGCGCCTTCCTCCTAGCGGGCGCTTCCCCCCCAGGAGCTTCGCGGCTGTGCGTGCGAACGTGTCACCGCAGTGCAGTCTGGGCGGAGACGCTCTGGACTTCCCTCAATGAAGACAGAGCTAGCTTCCATGGCACGCAATGACACATTCGCTTGCAACAAGGCCTCTTGAAATCAACTGATTGCTAGCTGCAAATGAGTCCACACACTTCTGCGCGCCCCTCATCAACAAGCATGATTGCAAAGGACAACAACCATGATTGCAAGACGGGAGCATTGCAAACAATGACTTTTGGCTTCAATCTTTCGCTCCCCAGCGAGCATGCTAGAGCTTACACTTTTCCAACAGATCGAGGCTCAACGATTGATTCGGATGTGTTGGAGGCCTTGTCAAACCTACGCAATGCTGCTGTAGCTGTCTGCGGTTTGCCGCCCGCGTCATCGTGCTGCTGCCTCTGATATCACTCTACATGTATCGGAATTCAGGCTTGCTGGCTTTTGCTGTGATGTTCTCATTGTTGTTGGTGAATGGCATTGCTTTGCAGCCGCTGCTCCGGTAGCTGCTGCTGCTGTTGATGCTGTCGCTGTCGCTGCTGCCGCTGCTGTTGTGGTTGTCGTTCCTGTCGCACCAAGGTCACGCAACTTTATCTCAGCTCACCTGGTAAGTGTTCATTGAAGTTCAAAATTCGATCTCCCTCAATCTACTGTTCTGTATTGTGACATATTGTGACGGGGTTGCATGGCTAAGACTCACCACAGCGCACTTCTGATACTCGAGGCTTGCCTGGTTGCTGCGTGTGCTCTGAAATCAAAGCTTCAGCATTCCACCCTGAACTGTCTATGCACACTGGTGTTGGGCTACTCAGGTCAACGTGAATGCAGGTCAATCGCGGAAACTTCCGCGTTTCGGCAAGTCCTTGTAGAACTTGACGGGCTGCACGCCATACTTATCACAGACTTGAAGGTAAAACTCCCTCTCGATACCCCTGTCGCGCAGGCACAGCTGGCAGCACGTCTCTCCGTTGGGGGACCAAAAGCGCCTGCCTGAATTTCTGGAGAAGTCTAGCCAAATCAGCAAGTTTTGCAGGATTGTGCCTTAGCTGGACATGGCTGTTTCTTGGCACTAATGCTGGATCCCGGTTGCTTTGGGAAACCCTCAGCTCCACACCTTGCTGCCTTCCATCAACACAAGTTGTTGCCCTTTGACATGGGGGCGGAAGCCTACGTGATAGACCATGTTGCGGCGTCGACTCCGACAATCGTATGACAGACCCAAGGCTGGCTGCCAATTCAAGAGCGGCTCCAACCCAAGCAGCTGCAACACTTGATTCCGGGCAGGCCGAACGTGCAGCTGAGTCACTTCTGATAGACGCCTTGCACAAGGATTGCAAACCTCGATCCAAGTTGCCATGCAACAGGATGCTTGTTGCGACAACATTCTTGAAGCTGTGGGATGTTGAGGCGGTCGCTCTCGCGCCGAAAGCTCCGGCATTTCGCCGTCCCTTCGGTGGATGCAGACGTCACGCACGCAGCCACGCCAAATGGGCCGTCTGGGTGAGCCACTGATCTTTGCCTTCAGCTCGCTCGCAGCTCGCCTCTAGTCACCACCCTCCCTTCATATTGCCAAGGAGCTTTCGCTTGCCAAGCAGAAACTGAAGATGCGAGATTTGCACGCTGGGCACCCCCACAGAAGAATTCGCCTGGAAACAAATGCCAAGAAGTGGGGGTCAAATGGATGCCGAACCAAAACGAAAGCAAGGGCCCTACGAAAATAAGACATCGACTTGCCCCGACAACACTCGATGGCTGACGCCAGCTCGGGGTTTCACACTTCACCTTTCCAATGCTTGCCACCTTGCCCACCCTTTGGGTTCCCACGGCCAAGCAAGCGATCAAAACCGTGGGCTCAACATGCGGAAAGCAGTCGTAACCCTGCAAGACCTGCCGCGTTCAAATGCCCAACCTGGAGAGCCCATGGAGCCAAGAAGAAAACCTAAGTGCCCAGCCGGAGACGGAGCACCGTTGGCTCCTAGTGATCTGGCTGTGGGTCAAAAATTGGTAACCCCAAAATGGGTTGCCCTGGTAGAAGGAAACATGGACGATTTAACCTGCGGTCCATTTCCTGGTGGTTTAATTTGAACCCACAGCCATCTTAGAATTCACCGATGTTTCAGATCAGCCTGCGCATTCCTTCGAACGACCCGTCTGCTTTGGCTGACGGAGTCCTCCCATGAGTGCTTCAAGGCTCGCCTGGCACGTCTTGCCACTCTAAGAGGCGCTTGAAGTCACAGCACTGCATGCGAGATAAACAGTGGAGATCCGGGTTATCACTGTCTTCTCGAGTTTAAACTCAATATGGCTGTGGGTCAAAAACCTATGGTACCATTTTGGGGTAGGTGCACCACCCATTTTAGAACCTATTTTAGTGGTTGGATTGGGATGTTCACTGGGGGTACGGGATTTTTGGATTTTGACCTATGGCCATCCGACTGTCCAAAAGAGCAGAGGATTTGGGAAGTGCATTCCGTGACGCATGACGCACACCTCGTACTTGTCACAGACCTGGGTAAGGAGCTCCTGCTCGCGGCCCTGCCAGTTCTTTCTCTCACACGGCTCGCGTCTCATACGCCTTGCGCTCGGATCTGGCCTGATACTTGTCGAAAATGGTTGCCAAGTCCTGGGTGCTGGTCGAGGGTTTCATGAGCAGGCACAAAACGCGGAGCTCCGGGAACAAAATGAGTCACTTGCTCAAAACCCGGCATTAAAATGGTCGTAATCCCAGAACCATGCTTCAAGAATTAAGAAGGCGGATATCCGCAGCTATTTCTGGTTGGGATTGCCCCCTTACAAACCGAATCATCTACCCGAATCGGATTTGAGCAGGCTCAAATGACTCGGACGCTGACCTGCAGCTTCGATGGGTTTTTTTCCTCGTAGACGCGTCGAACGAGGGCCCTGTACCTGGCAGTTTGCCCGGTCGATGGCTGCTCGGTAGCATCGGTCGCCAGAAAAATGATGAGACAAAGATACAAAGAGTGAGAGAGAGGGGAGAGAGAGAGAGAGAGAGGGGAGAGAGAGAGAGAGAGGGGAGAGAGAGAGAGGGGAGAGAGAGAGAGGGGAGAGAGAGAGAGAGAGAGAGAGAGGGGAGAGAGGGGAGAGAGGGGGGAGAGAGGGGAGAGAGGGGAGAGAGAAGAAGAGAGTTGACGAAGAACTGTTCGGAGAGCGCCTGGTGATTTGCGGACGAGCCACTGCAGGAATCCATGGGTTTTTGCCAAGGCGGCAAATGTCCCAAATATTGGAAGCGAACGAACCACATCCGCCGTGTTTGTTCCTGTAGACAATTCAGATCTCCTCTGGCATATGGACATCACTAGATAGTTGCACTTCATCACGGGCACTGGTGCTAGCCTCTGTTGTATCATTCATGCCGGCAGTGTTGTTGGCATGTTGTGGCAGACCCCAAATCAGCGTAGAAAGACGCCAGTCAGCTGTCAAAGGTTGCATTGGTAGTGGGCGAATGCACATTGCGCCATCGACCGCCCAAAGGGCACTGGGCAACACTGAGCTGCGGCCTTCCTGGTGCTGAAGGCTCCTCGGGCTGGGCCAAGCGGAAGCGAATGGGATCCAATCACCCACACCTCCTTCGCCATGTCCGGAGGGCTGCCCTCAATCACCTCAATTGCAAATGATCTAGCTGGTCTCTCGGAGCCGTGCAACCGTGGAAGCAAATGGTCAGAAAGCCAGCGGCGTTTTGGCGGCTAAACCACCGGAATCTACAATTGAGCAACCCGAAAACACGCCCTCAGACAAAAACCAAGTCGCATGCTCAGCTTCAACCACGAAACTAAAGAAGTAAGAGCTAAAGTCACTAAATGTATACTTCGTACTTGGAGTCTTTTCCAGGTTGAGCTCAAACACAGACCTGCACGCGCACACACACACACACATACAAGTAGCGTCAACTAACCTGTCAAAGTGGACATGTATAGTTCAATGCATTGTTCACATATTGAATATAATATCATATGTATATACGTCAATTCCACTGTGTCCCAGTCATTCAACAAAGAAAGAAGCAACAATAAAGCGGCAACAATGATAAAACTAGAAATCCCAAACAAAACAAACAATGAAACATCTAAACTCCAAAAAAGCAAACACATTTAGATCATGTGTAAACCCATTATGTCCAGCATATGCATTATTTTTTGCAATGTCACAACCAAGCCAGTGAGTCTTGGCGCAGCGGCAGTGCAAACCACGTGAATCGCTGGACTCCAGGCATTGCCACTGACCTCTCGCGCATGCACCAAGGGCTAACAAACAATGTCACTACGTCAACAGTAGCTCATCACTAGTGAATCACTCGCCCTTGGTGCCTCCATCCAGCCCTTGCTGTTGGCAAAGTGCTGCGAGTCACTTCGGTATGCCCAGCCTTGCTTGCCGTGCGCGTGGCAAGCACATGTGCCGCGGTTCCTTTAAGCGAACCACTTTTTCAGGGGGTCCATGAGCATTTCCGGTAACCCGGGCAAAAACGAAGGCGTTTGACCATGGCACGGCCGGCCTGGAACTTGCCCGTCTCTTGCCGACTGCACGCTGCCGCTGTCGCAAATCGCCCACCTGTCGCAAATCGACCCGCCGGATGCACTGAGGTGCCATGAGATTAAAGTCGCCTTTCCATGGAGCGCTGCCAATAGATGAAGTAGGTCATACTGGAGTTCCAAACGCTCGCCTGGGCAAGCGTTTGGCCAAACTGAGATGGCTGTTGTCAAAACCGTTTTGGGATCCGATTTTGGTTGGTGGGTGAATTCACCACCCAGTTTAGTACCTATTTTAGTGGGGATTAAAATGTTCACTGGGGGTACGATTCAGATGAGCAATGGGGATGCAAACTTGTTGAAACAGAAAGCCGCCAAAAGGCTGACACAGGCGCTGGAAAAGCCCGGCGCCTTGCGTTTCCCGCTGCATTTGCTGATTGACTTGGCTCGCGGCCTGACCCTGGATCGGCTGGTCTGGCCGCTCAGTATATTGACCATTCAGGTCCTGCCCAAAGCAAGCGGGCATGGAAAATCAAGTCTACTCCCCACGCAAACCGCTAAGATGTCCAGAGTTCAAGCACACGCTTGGCGAAAAGCCATCGCGCCTTCATGAGAAAACCGCTAAGTGCCACCCGCAGCCTCTTTGGGCTGGGCCTTTCCACCTGAGCCATATCATGATTTGCATGTCGTATCATTTTTGCTTACACCATCAGCTTACGCCGGCTTATGCAGTGGGAGTTCTTGCTTACACGGCACATTTGGAGGTTCTTCTTACGCCACCAGCTTACGCCACCTTGCGCCCGTAGAGCTTTTGCTTATGCACAGTCCGAAATGACGCGACTCTTTCCAAACATGTACACAGAGGTTCCGCACGCTCACCTTGACACATTCGCGCTTGGAATTGCATGGTCCCAACCGCTGTGTCGCCTCTTCGCGCTGGATGCGCAGAACATCGCCGCGCAAGAGACAGTTGTTCACGCATGCAAAACATAGTGACTTGGTGTGTTTACCAGCATGTTTGCCCTACGTCGCCTCAACATGCTTGCATGGGGGTGAAGGGAAGGCGCGTTACTATTTTTCGCGCAGCTCACATCAGTTGACAGCGCAGGCAGCTTGAGCTGTCATTCAAAGCGGGGCAAAGACTCCCTTCCCCCTGTTGATCCAACATGCTCTTATTCTGAACGTTATAATCCGCCGACCCCCTGCCTGCAAGGGGAAGGCGCTGGGGGAGTGTTCGTTTAGCGTTGGAGCGTGACTGTGGCAGCCTTCTCCCTTCCCTTTCGCCCTCGCCCGTTCAGCCCTGTACCTTACCAGCCTTCTTTCTTTCCCTTTTTTCTTGTTCTTCTTCGTTTCTTTTCTTTCCTTTTCCTTTCTGCTGCCGGCGCACTCCTTTGGTTGGCGCTCGCTGTGGACAAACGAGTGCGGCCTGGAAAAGCGCGGGAAGCGAAGCTTTTCTGGCTGGCCGCTCCCTCTAGACCCATAGCCTTGCTGCATATTGGACTCAGCCGCGACGTTAGGCACCCGGCCGCGGCGGAGCAGGCTGCCGGCGCACTCCTTTGGTTCGTGCTCGCTGCGGCGAAGCGAGTGCGGCCTCCAAGCGCGCTGGACGCGAAGCTGTTCTTGCTGGTCGCGCCCTGGGGACCGATAGCTTTCTACTTTCTATATAGGATTCAAAAGTGACGTTTGGCACCCGGCCGCGGCGTACCAGCCGGTCTTGGCAAGACGCACAGCAAACCCAAAGGGATGAAAGACCAGGGAGAGGCAAACTGTGACAGACGCAGGCGCACATGGGCATGGACAGGCCGGGGATTGAACCCAGCCCCTCTCGCATGCTGAGCGGGTGTGATACCACTACACCAACTGCCCCTGAGCTGAGCAGGCCGAGAGTGCTCAAATACCTGCTGCGCATAGCTTTCAGCGCTGAAGGTCCAGAGGGAGCGGCCAGCCACAAAAGCTTCGCTTCCCGCGCTTGCGCCGGCAGCAGAGAGGAAAAGGAAAGAAACCAAAGGAGTGCGCCGGCAGCAGAAAGGAAGACTAGAGGCCGAACGGGCGGGCCCGCACTCCTTTGCCCACAGCGAGAACCAACCAAAGGAGTGCGCCGGCAGCAGAAAGGAAGCAAAAAGGCCGGACGAGCGGGCCGTGACAGAGCTTCAGCGCTGAAAACTGTGCCCTGCAGGTGCTTGAGCGCTTTTCCAGGCCGCGCTCGTTTGCCCACAGCGAAAAGAGGCCACTCAAACGCGACGTTAGGCACCCGGCCGCGGCGGAGCAGGCTGCCGGCGCACTCCTTTGGTTCGTGCTCGCTGCGGCGAAGCGAGTGCGGCCTCCAAACGCGCTGGACGCGAAGCTGTTCTTGCTGGTCGCGCCCTGGGGACCGATAGCTTTCTAGCGGCGGAGCAGGCTGCCGGCGCACTCCTTTGGTTCGTGCTCGCTGCGGCGAAGCGAGTGCGGCCTCCAAGCGCGCTGGACGCGAAGCTGTTCTTGCTGGTCGCGCCCTGGGGACCGATAGCTTTCTACTTTCTATATAGGATTCAAAAGTGACGTTTGGCACCCGGCCGCGGCGTACCAGCCGGTCTTGGCAAGACGCACAGCAAACCCAAAGGGATGAAAGACCAGGGAGAGGCAAACTGTGACAGACGCAGGCGCACATGGGCATGGACAGGCCGGGGATTGAACCCAGCCCCTCTCGCATGCTGAGCGGGTGTGATACCACTACACCAACTGCCCCTGAGCTGAGCAGGCCGAGAGTGCTCAAATACCTGCTGCGCATAGCTTTCAGCGCTGAAGGTCCAGAGGGAGCGGCCAGCCACAAAAGCTTCGCTTCCCGCGCTTGCGCCGGCAGCAGAGAGGAAAAGGAAAGAAACCAAAGGAGTGCGCCGGCAGCAGAAAGGAAGACTAGAGGCCGAACGGGCGGGCCCGCACTCCTTTGCCCACAGCGAGAACCAACCAAAGGAGTGCGCCGGCAGCAGAAAGGAAGCAAAAAGGCCGGACGAGCGGGCCGTGACAGAGCTTCAGCGCTGAAAACTGTGCCCTGCAGGTGCTTGAGCGCTTTTCCAGGCCGCGCTCGTTTGCCCACAGCGAAAAGAGGCCACTCAAACGCGACGTTAGGCACCCGGCCGCGGCGGAGCAGGCTGCCGGCGCACTCCTTTGGTTCGTGCTCGCTGCGGCGAAGCGAGTGCGGCCTCCAAGCGCGCTGGACGCGAAGCTGTTCTTGCTGGTCGCGCCCTGGGGACCGATAGCTTTCTAGCGGCGGAGCAGGCTGCCGGCGCACTCCTTTGGTTCGTGCTCGCTGCGGCGAAGCGAGTGCGGCCTCCAAGCGCGCTGGATGCGAAGCTGCCGATAGCTTTCTACTTTCTATATATATCAAAAGTGACGTTCGGCACCCGGCCGCGGCGTACCAGGGTCTTGGCAAGACGCACAGCAAACCCAAAGGGATGAAAGACCAGGGAGAGGCAAACTGTGACAGACGCAGGCGCACATGGGCATGGACAGGCCAAGGATTGAACCCAGCCCCTCTCGCATGCTGAGCGGGTGTGATACCACTACACCAACTGCCCCTGAGCTGAGCAGGCCGAGAGTGCTCAAATACCCGCTGCGCATAGCTTTCAGCGCTGAAGCGGTCCAGAGGGGAAACCAAAGGAGTGCGCCGGCAGCAGAAAGGAAGACTAGAGGCCGAACGGGCGGGCCCGCACTCCTTTGCCCACAGCGAGAACCAACCAAAGGAGTGCGCCGGCAGCAGAAAGGAAGCAAAAAGGCCGGACGAGCGGCGAGACGCACAGCAAACCCTAAGCGAGAAAGACCAACGCAGTGCGCACATGGGCATGGACAGGCTGGGGATTGAACCCGGCCTCTCTCGCATGCTGAGCGGGTGTGATGCGACTACACCAACTGCTCCTGAGCTGATGAGGCCGAGAGTGCTCAACTACCTGCTGGGCACCGCTTTCCGCGCTGAAGCTCTGTCACGGCCAGCCCGTTCGGCCTCTATTCTTCCTTTCTGCTGCCGGCGCACTCCTTTTGGTTGGTGCTCGCTGTGGGCAAACGAGTGCGGGCCCGCCCGCTCGGCCTCTTTTCTTCCTTTTTGACGCCGGCGCACTCCTTTTGGTTGGTGCTCGCTGTGGACAAACGAGTGCGGCCTGGACCAGCGCGGGAAGCGAAGCTTTTCTGGCTGGCCGCTCCCTCTGGACCCATAGCCTTGCTGCATATTGGACTCAGCCGCGACGTTAGGCACCCGGCCGCGGCGGAGCAGGCTGCCGGCGCACTCCTTTGGTTCGTGCTCGCTGCGGCGAAGCGAGTGCGGCCTCCAAGCGCGCTGGACGCGAAGCTGTTCTTGCTGCTTGCGCCCTGGGGACCGATAGCTTTCTACCTTCTGTATAGGATTCTACAGTGACGTTCGGCACCCGGCCGCGGTGGAAACAGCCGCCCTTGGCAAGACGCACAGCAAACCCAAAGGAAAGAAGAGCAGGGATCGGCAGACTGTCCCAGACGCAGGCGCGCATGGGCATGGACAGGCCGGGGATTGAGCCCGCCCTCTCACATGCTGGGTGTGATGCCGCTACACCAACTACCCCTGAGCTGAGAAGGCCGAGAGTGCTCAAACCCCTGCTGGCCGCAGATTTCAGCGCTGAAGCTCTGTCACGGCCAGCCCGTTCGGCCTGTCTTCGCACTCCTTTGGTTGGTGCTCGCTGTGGGGGGCAAACGAGTGCGGCCTAAAACAGCGCTCGAACACCTGCAGGGCACAGTTTTCAGCGCTGAAGCTCTCTCGCGGCCCGCCCGTACGGCCTTTTTTCTTCCTTTTTCTCCTTTTCTGCGCACTCCTTTGGTTGCTTTCCTTTTCCTTTCTGCTGCCGGCGCACTCCTTTCGTTGGCGCTCGCTGTGGACAAACGAGTGCGGCCTGGAAAAGCGCGGGAAGCGAAGCTTTTGTGGCTGGCCGCTCCCTCTGCACCGATAGCTTTGCTGCATGTTGGACTCAAATGCGACGTTAGGCACTCGGCCGCGGCGGAGCAGGCTGCCGGCGCACTCCTTTGGTTCGTGCTCGCTGCAGCGAAGCGAGTGCGGCCTCCAAGCGCGCTGGACGCGAAGCTGTTCTTGCTGGTTGCGCCCTGGGGACCGATTGCTGTCTACTTTCCATATAGCGCTCCTTTGGTTGGTGCTCGCTGTGTGGGCAAACGAGCGCGGCCTGGAAAAGCGCTGAAAACAAGCAAACAATCAATCGAGCGAGCAAGCCAGCAAGCCAGCAAGCCTGAACCAGCCAAAAGCCGCTGCCAGAACAAAAAAAACCCTGGGCTGGCCCCCAGCGGAGGGGTCGGCGGCACTGCAGCCCTTAAATCCGGCCACCGGACGTGATCGGGCCGCAGGCCAAAGCCCGTTAGGGCTTACCTTCAGGTATAAGGCCGCGCGCCCCATGCCGCCGACCATGAGCGGACCATGAAGGTAGGTTTTGCGCTGGGCCCGCCCTTATAAGGGGCGAAGGATTTGCGGATTGGTTTCGGCGATTTTTGTAGCATCTCCCCGCAGCGCTTAAAAACGAGCATTTTTAGGGGGTGCCTAATACTGGACAACACCCCCAGCATTGCCAGCATCATCCCGGATGATGCGGATGATGTTATGCATGCTGGCGATGCGGGGGATGCTGGGGATGCTGTCCCCTAAGTCGGGCCAATTTTGCCGAAAACGTGCAACCTGAAAATCTTAAAATCTAAAGTGGATGGAAATGGATGGAAAATGGCCTGGATTGAAATCTTAAAATCTTAAATTAAAATCTTAACACTCAATCTTAGAATCTCAAGATCTTAAAATCTTAGAACTTAGAATCTTGAAATCTTAAAAACCTTATGTCTTAGAATCTTGAGATCTTAAACTCTTAAAATATGAAATCTTAGAACCTTAATTCTTAAACCATTGAAACCTTAAATTCCGAAAGTCTTCAAATCTGAGACCCTTAGAATCTCAAAGTTTTTAGAATTTTAAATCTTAACATCTACTCATCGGACTTACAGGAAAGGGAAGTGACAGAAACCCTCATGTCTTTGAATCTTCAGATGTTAAAATCTTAAAATATGAAATTCCTAAATTCTCAAAATCTTAAAATCTCAGAATCTTAAAAGCTTCAAAAACTTAAATTCTTTAAATCTCGAACTATTGCAGTCTGAAAATCTTAAATTCATAAACAAGTAAAATATAATAAAATTCCTTCAATCCGGGCTATATTATTAAATTCCTTAAACTCTTAATCTTCAAATTTTGAAGTCTTGACATCTTAAGATCTTAAAATCTTAAATTCCGAAAGTCGCCAAATCTGAAAATCTCACAAAAAATAAAATCTTAAAGCCTTCGAAATCTGATAATGGATGGAAAATGGCTGGGCAATGGCCTGGCTGTTATAACCTTCAAAAGCCTTAAATCTTCGAAAGTCTTCAAATCTGAGACCCTTAGAATCTCAAAGTTTTTAGAATTTTAAATCTTAACATCTACTCATCGGACTTACAGGAAAGGGAAGTGACAGAACGGGCAGGGCAAGGTGCCCGGTGGCCGGCTGTGTCGCGTCAGCGTGTAAATCCGGCCACCGGACGTGATCGGGCCGCAGGCCAAAGCCCGTTAGGGCTTACCTTCAGGTATAAGGCCGTGCGCCCCATGCCGCCGACCATGCGCAGAACATGTGCATACGTTTTGTGCTTGGCCCACTCTTATAAGGGGCGAAGGATTCGCGGATTGGTTTAGGCGATTTTTGTAGCATCTCCCCGCAGCGCCAAAAAACGAGTATTTTTGGGTGGTGCCTGAAACTGGACAACACCCCCAGCATTGCAAGCATCATCCCGCATGATGCGGGTGATGTTGTGCGTGCTGGCGATGCGAAACAATGGGCTAAAGGGGAAATGCAAGGAAACAGGAGTGACTGAAAGTGAACGAAATGAAAATCAAAGGAATTGCACGAAAATGAAGAGGGCAATGGAGAGAAACCGAGATGCAGGAAAATGCAAGGGCAGAACGTGAAGGGAACCGGACAGCGGGAACGAAAAGGGAAAGGAATGCGAATAAAGGCGTCTTCAAGGAAATGAAGGGAGCTGAAACGCCAGTGAAGTGGAAGGAAGTGAAGGGACATGCCAGGAAACTGTCAAGGAAGACATGCAAAGAAAGTGAAGTGCAAATTATCCCGAGAAGTAACAGGACTTGGAGGGAAAGGAAATGAAAGAACGGGAAGGGGTGCCCGGTGGCCGGCTGTGTCGCGTCAGCGTGCAAATCCGGCCACCGGACGTGATCGGGCCGCAGGCCAAAGCCCGTTAGGGCTTACCTTCAGGTATAAGGCCGCGCGCCCCATGCCGCCGACCATGAGCGGACCATGAAGGTAGGTTTTGCGCTGGGCCCGCCCTTATAAGGGGCGAAGGATTTGCGGATTGGTTTCGGCGATTTTTGTAGCATCTCCCCGCAGCGCTTAAAAACGAGCATTTTTAGGGGGTGCCTAATACTGGACAACACCCCCAGCAATGCCAGCATCATCCCGGATGATGCGGATGATGTTATGCATGCTGGCGATGCGGGGGATGCTGGGGATGCTGTCCCCTAAGTCGGGCCAATTTTGCTGAAAACGTGCAACCTGAAAATCTTAAAATCTAAAGTGGATGGAAATGGATGGAAAATGGCCTGGATTGAAATCTTAAAATCTTAAATTAAAATCTAACACTCAATCTTAGAATCTCAAGATCTTAAAATCTTAGAACTTAGAATCTTAAAATCTGAAAATATAAAAACTTCCTAAAGTCTTCGAATCTTGAAATCTTAAAAACCTTATGTCTTAGAATCTTGAGATCTTAAACTCTTAAAATATGAAATCTTAGAACCTTAATTCTTAAACCATTGAAACCTTAAATTCCGAAAGTCTTCAAATCTGAGACCCTTAGAATCTCAAAGTTTTTAGAATTTCAACATCTGAACATCTACTCATCGGACTTACAGGAAAGGGATGTGACAGAAACCCTCATGTCTTTGAATCTTCAGATGTTAAAATCATAAAAAATGAAATTCCTAAACTCTCAAAATCCTAAACTCTCAGAATCTTAAAAGCTTCAAAAACTTAAATTCTTTAAATCTCGAACTATTGCAGTCTGAAAATCTTAAAATTCATAAACAAGTAAAATATAATAAAATTCCTTCAATACGGGCTATATTATTCTAAATTCCTTAAACTCTTAATCTTCAAATTTTGAAGTCTTGACATCTTAAGATCTTAAAATCTTAAATTCCGAAAGTTGCCGAATCTGAAAATCTCACAAAAAATAAAATCTTAAAGCCTTCGAAATCTGATAATGGATGGTAAATGGCTGGGCAATGGCCTGGCTGTTATAACCTTCAAAAGCCTTAAATCTTCGAATCTTTAAAACCTTAATTCTTCAACCCTTAAATTCCGACAGTCTTCAAATCTGAGACCCTTAGAATCTCAAAGTTTTTAGAATTTTGAACTCTTAACATCTACTCATCGGACTTACAGGAAAGGGAAGTGACGGAACGGGCAGGGCAAGGTGCCCGGTGGCCGGCTGTGTCGCGTCAGCGTGTAAATAATGGTTGGCGCGCGCTAACTGATTTACACCTGCAATTGGACACAAAGTGAATGTTGATCAATTTCTGCTTGCGCAGCCTCTGGAATTCGTGGATTTCGGGAGGCAAAGCTTAACCATGATGGAAAGACTCATTGCACCAAACTCACGGCATAACGGATACGTCGGATACGCTAAAGTCTTGGGTAACAACATATTCTGCAACGTTGGCAGCGCTGCTTTGCCTGATTGAGCTTCCCTGTGGAATACTGAAGGAATACCACGGAAAGATCATGGCGCAAAAAAAAACACGCTGAGCTCAACAACAAATCCGATCAGGTGAGAGTGGATAGGAGTCAAAATAGAATCTGCTAATGTTGACCCAGGATTAATAAACCCGTCCCATTATCCCCTATTAATCAACCAGTGGTTTATTAATCCGGGGTTAACATTAGGCGAAGCATCTCAAAGCTTGGCCAGTGGTTCCACTTTGTCCGGGGCGCCGCTGCTGCCACCGGAGGCATCCGTGGCGCGGGCGGCGGCGGCGGCGGCGGCAGCAAAGGGCCTTCTGCAACCTGGCTCTGTGATTTGGCCGACGCCAAGCATTTGGCAGTGGGTCAAAAAATAGGCACCACAGATGCAACCCTGTTACAAGTAGAAGGGCTAAAACCTGCGGTCCATTTCCTTTTGACCCATTTGACTTGCCCAGGCAGTCTAAGAGGGCTTTCTGTGGATTTATTGGCCGTCAAAAGATGTCACAACTCCCACCGCAAAACCATGGCCTTCGGCCGCTTGGCGCGCATCATTTCCTGGACCTCGGTCGCTTTCACGCGGGTCAATCGGCGGCTTCCGGCAGGCAATCAAGGGCTCCGATTTTTTTGACCTTTGGGTAGACTTAAACCCGGGGGTTTCCCTTGGGTCCCGAATCAACCACCCCTGGGTGTTATTATTTGGGGAACCAGGGTTTTTATTTGGGGAACCAACCACCCCTGGGTGAAAGTCTGCCTGTGACGCAACGCGCCTCTGCTGGCAGCTCTTCTTCGACAAACTGGCCAGTCGCAGGATCCCACCTGGCAGCTGGCTATTTGGGCGTGGGTGAAACGCCCGGTTAGCCCCCAGCGAACATCCGATTCAATCCAACCACTAAAATAGGTGCTAAAATGGGTGGTGAATTCACCTACCAACATGGGATCCCAAAACGGTTTTGACCACCACAGCCATTTGGGCATTGGTCTCAAAATGCAACCACCAGGGGACCACAGTTATTTTGTTGGTCCTGGGATCCATTCACCAGGGTCCGCAACCCATTCTGGGGTTACCCCCATTTTTGACCACCGCAGGCATTTGGGTGTGGCTCAAAATTCAACAGGAGGGGTTACGCAGGTGTTGGTCCATGTTTCCATTTACCAGGGTTCCATTTTGGGTACCGGTTTTTTGAGCCACGGCCATTTCACCTTCTGCAGCTTGTCATGATCTCAGCTCGCAACTGAACACCGAAACCTCAGGCTCTGAGGCTCAAACGTGCGAGCTTTCGGCTCATCCTGCGGCTTCGGCTCCACCTCGCGGGGCCCAACTGAGAAGCGCAGAGGTCCGACTGTGCGCCCCCAATCCGTGCAAGGCTCACTTTCCTCCCGGCGGCTCCAGGATTGGTGAAACGAATGAAGAGTGAGACCAAGTGAAGCAACTGCAAGTTGAGAACAAGTGGAGTCGAATTTCCCACACAACGATTCTTCTTGCAAAAGCCTCCCTCCAGAATTCTGAAGCGCTGTGAGTGACACTGGCAATCACTCCGAAAGCGCCTCTGCCTGCCAGGGGCGCGCATTGCGAGTCAGCAAGTCACACGAGTTGACGGTGGCTTACACTCTCTGAGGTTTTTTTGTATTACACCCTGGGATTACACCCCTGGGAAATGACCCAGAATAACACGGTTTTATCTGGACATGTGCCTAAATGGGGTCAATACCCAGTGGGTGTATTCCCAGGGCGTAATACAAAAACCCTGAGGCACACAAACTCCACGGCCTCATGAGGCTTCGCAGTGGACCAGCTTCCAGCGTGCCGCTTCCCACTCCTCACATCTTGCGCCAGTCAGTTCCAGGCCGACTGCAAATCGAGGGAACCGTCCAGAGGAGGTCTCTCCGTTCGCGCAGTTCTGCTCAAGCAGGTACTCAAGAACCAAGCATGTGCTTCTCAAAGAGAAGAATGACGTCTTCATTGAAAGCAACGCTTCAGGCTGACCTTCTGCGGGTGTTCTTAGCTGAGTCTACTAAGTCAAGCGGCAAAGTCTTGTGCCGCATTGACCAGCACCAGCAGCCGCACGGCTCCAGCCTTCAACACATTCACATCCAGCTACACACAGGGCCCCGTTTTTTGACCTTTGGGTAGACTTAAACCCAGGGGTTTCCCTTTTGGGGGAATTAACCACCCCTGGGTTTAAGCCTGCCTTGGGGTAGTCGAAAAACGGACCCCTGGCTACTCGTGTAGGGATTCCTTTTTGAGTTGGCTTGGTTTGCGATATGTTCGCAAATCAACGTTTCTCAAGATCCCTTTTCTGGCACTCAGTCTGTTCGGGATGGTGCTAGGCTCACACCCCAGCGGTCAACTGTGAAGTTAGCATATGGGTGTGGGTCAATATTCTGGTGTGGAACGTTCCGCGGTGACGCGGACGTCTGGAACGAGTCAGTTACGCAAGGTCGCTTGTTCCGGACCTCTGGGAGGACATGCGTGGAGTCCTCACCTCAAGCACACGTTCATTTAGTGTAAGATGGATAGATGGATCACGTAAGAAGCGCAGCTACTTACATGGCGCGTGCTGTGTGCATGTGGACTTGGTGGCAAATTGCTCCGCTGCGTCTGGAACACGTCTGGGACGGGTCTGGAACGGGGTCTGGAACGGTTACGCGAGTGGCTCGCACTTTGGAATGCTAGCAAGCCGCATGTAAACATGGTCGTTTCAACCGAGAACGGTATCGAACTGTTACCGTATCGTATCGAAAGCGGCGGAATTGTATCGCACCGAACCGAACCAAAGTTCCGGAACACCGATACTCCTTTCTTCATTTCTTTCTCCTTCTTTCTTGCTCCTTTGCTCCTTCTTTCTTGCTCCACGCCATTTCAGCCTTGGCCATTGCACTTGCACACCCGACCAAGAACGATCATCTGAATCAATACTCTAGAAATAAATATACATAAACAAGGTCTGGAACGGAAGGTCTGGAACATGTTTCTAGGTAAGGTCTGGAACGGAGGTCTGGAACGGAGGTCTGGATCGCATGTGGGTTCCGGACCCTGTTCCGGACCTTATAAATTGACTCGCAGCCATATCAGCGCTCGCAGCGCATAAAAGGAACGAGTATGACGACACCGGTATGGTGGCAGATTGCAACATAAGTCATAGTCAAAACCTGGCATGAAAATGGTCGACCCAGAACCATGCTTCAAGAATCAAGAAGGCTGTATTTCGCAGCCATTTGTGGCAAGGGGAGTGTCCCTTAACCTTCACTTACGCGAATCGGTTTTGACCGTGACACACATGACTTGCCGCCGCCGAGCACCGCATCTCCGAGCCTCGGCTTCCGTGAAGAACTCCACCGCTTGGCCAGCCTGCGGCAATTTTTCCGCCCCCGCTGGAAGCTGAGACTTCAAGCCATGCTGAAGGCAGTCTAACTGACAATACCCGAAACAGCGACTCCCCAACCGGGGCGCAATACCCCAGCAGCAAACCAAACGTTTTTTGCTCACTGAGGTTCTGCATCTTTGGCGTTTGCGGGCATTTTAGTAAGTTCCCCCATATCCATCCTGAATGGACAGACTATGGCTCTGCTCTTTCGCTTGTGATTTTGCAGGTCGCCCAGGGTTCGCCTGAAAAAGTACTGTCTTGCCTCCAGCCTTCAAGAAAAAACACTCAAGCGAACCCAAATGGGTCTCTTGGAGGCTTCATTTTGAGACCAATAGCCAAATGGCTGTGGTGGTCAAAACCGTTTTGGGATCCCATGTTGGGGTAGGTGAATTCACCACCCATTTTCGTCCCTATTTTAGTGGTTGGATTGGGACGAATTGTGCCTCTGAGGCCGCGGCGACTTGCAACTGCTGCCTTTTCAGCCGCTGCTTGTCCATCCGAGCCTCCTCGGTGCCCAAGCACCCGAAGGTGGCGGCCTGGCATCGGCTCAATCGACACTAGCTGAATGGTTCCCTCTAACTGGCGGTTCGGATTGGCGGTTTTTCGAAGTTTGGGGGGAACTACCCCAATTGTTTCGTAATCCACCTGTGTCCCGGCTACTCTGCCTGCCTTGGCACCTTGCCCCACCATTCCACAACTTACCGCAATTGACCCTTCCTTGTGCTACCCTGTGCTTCCTTGTCCTTGCGCTACCTTGCGCTACCTTGCCCTACCTTGCCCTGGTGCTACCTTGCTCTACCTACAACGCGCTACCCTGCGCTACCCTGCGCTCCCCTGCGCTACCCTGCGCTACCCTGCGCTACCTTGTAATTCCGTGTTTGCGCGATTGTGCTTGTATCATGGTGTGTGTCTGATTGCGTGCTTGTGTGTGTGTATGTGGTGTGTGTGTGTGTGTGATTGATTGTGTGCGTATGTTTGTATGCTTTGGGACATATGCCGAAAGCTTCTTTTGCAAAAGGCGCGGAAATCCCATTGTCAGGCTCAGGCCCGTGTCAGGCGTGGAATTCATTTCGCACAACTTGCTCCAAATCCTGGTGGCCTTCTCACGTTTTAGTAGTCAGTCTTTGACGTGCGGGGAAAAGCAACTTGAAACCAGTGGCCAGTGGCGTTGTGTTGCTTGCCGTGTTGCTTTTCCTTTGGATGTTGCTCGTGGCTTTCCTGCGCGTCATCGAAGCGCGTCCGAGTAATTCTACATTTGGGTGTGCGTCAACATTAAACCAGGGGACCGCAGGTTTTAGTCGCTGTTACCACTTACCAGGGTTCAATTTTGGGTACCTACTCGGCCTTGCGGTTGCTTGCTCCCTTGCAGAAGAAGTGACTAACTTTTACGGGGTTTAATTCGGAAAACCAACATCTGTTGGAAGTCCTAACATCCAAGCAAAATGCGCCAAAGTTTACAATTCGACGATGCCGTTGAGCTTAGACCCTCTTTCTCACCGTATTTTGGCATCAAAAATTGTCAAAGTGATGTGACAAATGCAGGTTGATCGGAAGGTGGACTCTGAATCTCAGCTTACTTTTCCTACACCGACTTGTGATTAGGCCTCATTGTACGGAAGGAGCAGCTTCTTGTCGCTCAGACCAGTGTACAACGATACCTTGCAAAACAATGACGCAAGGCACAGATTGGCAGGCACAGAGCTGCATCTGCAAGCATCTGCAAGCATCTGCAAGCATCTGCAAGCATCTGCAAGCATCTGCAAGCATCTGCAAGCATCTGCAAGCATCTGCAAGCATCTGCAAGCATCTGCAAGCATCTGCAAGCATCTGCAAGCATCTGCAAGCATCTGCAAGCATCTGTAAAGGCTGCTCCTCTGCAAACATCTTGGCCACAAAGGCTTGAAGCGCAGCCTGGCTCAAGTTGCGCATTCACGCGGCTCCCGCGACGAAAAGACATCGGTCTTAGTGGCCTGGGTTGCTGCTGATGCCTCTGGAAAAGGTCCAGCAACGAAGTCCTGCACATGAGCATGAACATCATCGTGACATCGTGGCTCCATTTTGGGGTGGATGAACATCCATTTGCCACCTATTTTGATGTTCATTAGGGGTTTCCTGGGTTTTGACCCACAGCCATCCATGCACTCGGCATTGCTCCTCAACGGAGGGCCTTTCCGGCTTATCAGGCTCCTGCCGGTTCATCACTCGCGCTCACAAATTTGGGGGTTGTGGCCGGCCTTCGCTGCGAGGAACTCGGAAGGGATCTGGCAAGAGAAAGCAACACTTGGCATGCAGTGAAACGCAGTGTCTGAGCATGATTTTCAGGCCACCACCCCCTCTGATGTGGCTTTCTCCGTCAGTTCCTTGAGAGCTGAGGAAGCGCTCTGGACCTTGCATCAATCCCAGTATGGAAGGGCTGTCTTTCGGACAGTGCTCTTGTTGTCAATGTAGTTAAGCACTGAGGTGCTTCGAAAGATCTCACAAATGCAGTCAAACGCATACTGCGGTTAAAGCACCTTACGACTCAGGGATAGATGTTGCTCAGACATGCCTCTAGCTTCCCAGCTTGTGCTTGGCTGTGTGGGCCGGGAATGGGAATGCAGCCTTTGTCTCATGCACCGTCCATGCAGCTTTTTGGGATGCAGAGTGAGGAGTGGAGTGGGGGGTGGCTGCATGTGAAGCGACGGAGCCCTGATGATTGCAAGCCGCAATGCAAGTCTTTGGCAGTGCACCCAGCTCATCTGATGGCCTTGCTGGACACTCCTCATCAGATCATGATGCAGCTAGATAGGAGTCAAACTGGTTTTCACCAGAACCGCTTGTTGCTTCCGTCTTGCGGTCTGGGGGTCTCCGCGTTCGGTGGGAATGAAGAGCTTCTGCAATAACCACACACTCCAGTCTTATATCATGAGATTCTGAAGGCGATTAGGTTGTCTTTATGAATGCTGCCGGTTTGCTCCGCATACGACTGTTTTAGATTTTGGCCGAGCACGATGAGCGGAACGTGGAAGAACACCACTGCTTGCCTACCGCGATATTGGTACGGCTTTCTTTGCCGGATTCTTTCTGCAAGCGAATGGCCCGCCCCAGACCCACAGTGCTTAACAACATGTTATGTTGACAACATCCAGGGCCTGTGCAAAGCACGAAGGGACAATCCGAGGCAAAAGCACTGTAAATAAGGAGAAACCAGGCAAGCGCTCGCAAATCACCAAAACAAAATTGGACCTTGCGCAGTGAAAACCCCTCAAATACACCTTCAAGTTGCCTGCACTTTATGCGTACACTCACAACCAAAACTGGCTTGTTGGACTCCGGACATTGCTTCTCTTTTGGTGATCTAGAACTTTGGGCACATTCAATCGGGCAGATTCAAAGCAGGGGTTTTTGACTCAAGACGTCAAGCCGGGAATTCAAAAGTTGAAGTGGCAGCAATTCGTATCAGTTACCAACAGACGGCTTTTCGATGTCCATCGTCTCCGAACTATTAGCCGACATGGTAGTTGGCCTCCATGTGTCCGGCCACGAAGTCGGGCAACCATGAACTAAGAACCCGACGCATTGTGTGCCATACTCCTGCAGGAAGGCTCTTTTCGCCTGAAGTCAGAATGAATCGATGTGGCTCGAAAAACCGGGTAACCCCAAAATGGCTGGCCCTAAGTGAAGAATGGACCAAAACCTGCGGTTTGCCAAAACCGCCCGTTTCATTTTGAGCCACACCCATGTGCACCTGGCCAATTCGCTCCGCGCTCGCTCGCTCGCTCAACCGCGCGCCTCCTCCTGCTCCACTGCTCCCGATGCGAACTTGCCGTTCATGGAGAAGCCCATGAAGCGCTGCGCCACATGCAGACTAATCAAGATGGCCATGGGTCAGATGATAAGGTGAGGGCAAACGTGCAAACAAGTACAAGTTGTTACAAGCTCAGTGCCTTCAACGTGCGTTTCTTGAGCTGCCAACCTTGTCGGCACCCACGGAGAAGTAGAGATAAGTACCAAAGCCGTGCATGTAGCCATCTTTCCATCTTGGCCAGCTGCCAGCAAAAGCCAATTCCATCCACAAGCAGGCAGCATCTTAGATATGGCTGTGGCTCAAAAATAGGGTAACCCCAAAATAGCACCTTCGTCAATGGAACTAAAAACTAAAACCTGCGGTTTGCCCTGGCTCTTAAATTTTGAGCCACACCCATATAGCGACTTTGGCCCCTCGAAATTCGGGCGTCCCCACGTGCCACGGTATTCGCGGCCGTCAGGCCATCTGTAGTCACCCACCTGGGTGAGTCACCCCAAAGTGCTCGTTGGAACCTCCGTGTGGCTGTGGTTGTCAAAAATACGGTAACCTGAAAATGGAACCCTGGTAAGTGGAAACATGGACTAAAACCTGCGGTCCATCTCCTGGTGGTTTAGTTTTGCCCCATACCCATGTTTGAAACCTTCAAATGCCGAGGCACACCATGGAACAAGTTGTTTCGGTAGTTGCCAGCGTAGACCTCGGCATCGGAGCTTGTCCAGCCTTGTCCAGCCAGCTTTGGGTGTCCGACAGCACCACTACAGCTGCAGTAGCGGCCCATCTGGCCAAAGTCCAAGAAAGCCGCATGCAAGTGCAAAGCTTCCACTATGCTCCAATTGTTCAACAGACCGGGCACTCCGTCGGGCCTTGTACATCCCGTGGTCAAAGGAGCCCTGACGCTGAGTTGCACAGTTGCACACCTGCCTGACATCATCTCTCTCTCCCACCTCGAAGGTCTCTGGCCCGCTCTGGAGCTTTCCATCACCGTGCATGGCAATGGACTCACCTCCCAAGTGCATCAGTCTAGGGGTTGATTCCAACCATTCTTTTCAACCATCCTTCCTTTCCAAAACCGGCTGTTTCCGCTGGATTTTGATGGTTTCTTGAAAAGAAGGATTCCTGGAAAGAATGGGGAAGGTACCAGTAGAATCAGGTTCACCAGACCTCTCTACACATGCGCCACGGTCAAAATGACTTGTTTCGCCCGAGGGCGCATAAGAGAATTTCATAAGTCCCTCGGCGCCCCTTTGCCCCTAATGAACCAGAGAGTCTTGACGCCTCAACCGAAGGGAGGGGTTCAGCAGGAAAGCTCTGCTTCTGTGTTCGGAGCTCTGATGTCTTTTGCCAATTCAAAATTAACCCTTGCAGTCAACATATGACCGAGCCAGCCTTTCTTCATATACTGCCCAGAATAGGTAGAACCATCGGGAAATACCTCCAACTCCAAGGAAGTCTGCACGCATTGCCATTGGCAGGCAATGAATGGTCCGCAAGTCTGGGATCCTCGCAAAGTCGCCTTGGAATATTTCAGGAGGTGGCTCTTCCTGAGCAGAAACATCGAGCTATCTGGCCATGGGTCAACCCCAGTGAACATCCCAATCCCCACTAAAATAGGTACTAAAATGGAGGTGCACCTACCCCAAAAATGGTACCATTGGTGTTGACCCACAGCCATCTGACACACCAATTCAACCGAAAGCTGAAGCCATTTGGCTGTGGGTCAAAAATAGGTACCCAAAATGGAACCCTGGTAAGTGGAAACATGGACTAAAACCAGCGGTCCCCTGGTGGATGCATACCCATCTCTGCCTTCACCTCCTCCTCCACAGGATCAGGCGCCTCACACAATCCGCCCTATTCTGCCTTCCAAGAGCTGAGAAGCTGAGCATCACACCGCCTTTTTCGGTGCCATGCACCTGAAGCTTTTAAGAGCCCAACTGAGACCGTGGCATTGGCTGCGTGTTTCAGGAGTCCTAAGCCCCCCATCTGCGCTTCTGCAACACTCCTCGCCTGTTGGGACTTGTGCACTTCGTGCCAAGGCCTGCCTTCTCGCTGTGAGCCCAACGGCAACGGCACAACAGAAAACCCCGGCGGGCATTCGCAAGTGCCAAGGTGCACTCCAACTTTCGGCAAACCGCGAAGCAGCGCGCAGGTGAAGGAATTTAAGGAGAATGACAAACGACAGGCCTTGGGTTTGTCCGGCACGGAACCTGGACGTCGGCCTTGAAGCTTGGCTATGACGTGATCAATGAGTCACAGTCTACATGAGTCACAATCAAAACCGGGGATTAAAATGGTCGACCCAGAACCATGTAAAGAATTAAGAAGGCGGCCGCAACTATTTATGGTTGGGATTGTCCCTTACTAACCTTCACTTACCCGGGTTTGATTGTAACTCAAATAGTTACTGGCATCAACCTGCGAAAAGTAGTGGCCACGACACCGCCTGGGCTACTGCGGACTTTGGCCAACTCTGATAAGAGGGAGAAACTGGGCGCCGGGCCGAAAATGTCGCTGGCGCGGAACATGGGCGCAACTCGGCAGCTGCCCGCAGGACAGTCGCGTTGAAGAACTCTGAGCAACAAAATCTGACACAAGAAGCTCAGTACGTAGCTCGACGGACCGGCACCAACTTCTCACTTCCAGGGGTTGTTTGCTCAGCAAGGCCGCCGTTGAATGAAAAACGACCAAGGTCTGGTATGTCATACCTAGTGTGCATGGATGCCTGATATGCTTGATCCGAGATACTCACTCCCGGCTGATGAAGCAAAGAAAGCCACAAGTGGTGCAAACACTGGTCCCCAGACCCTTCCTCGCGCTTGCCATTTTTTTGGACGTGACAAAGCAGGCCATTGTGATGCGCTTTTCAGGTAATCTTGAATCAATGATGTGCGTGTCACTTCTGACATCTGCACTCTGAGGCAAGAAATCAAGCACCAATCTCAGGACGTATGGTGGTCAATCGTCTGCGAAAAAGTCATTGATGGTGTCTACGTAGACATCCGGTTGGATGCCCTCCGTGCCCTTCTTGCGAGGCATGCGCTCCAGAAGCTCATCCTCGCTCGTGACACCAGAGAGCGTCAGACAGGTCTTCAAGCCATTGTTTCGCCCGAAGGCGATGTCCGTGTCAAGCCTGTCCCCAACCATGCAAATGCGCGAGCGGTCGGAGATGCCGTACTTCTCCGCTATGTAGTCGATCATGAGGGGCGCAGGCTTTCCAACAAGGGTGGGCTCCCGTCCAGTGCAGCCTGACACGGCTGCCACCATGGTACCACCTCCAGCCCATTCTTGCGCTTCTGTTAGATGAGTGATCCGGTCAGTATTTGTGGCAATGAATTCACACCCGGGCAGCTCATTCAAACAGAGCTGAGCATACTGAAGCTTGTAGTAGCTGATGTGCCGGTCAAAGCCTACGACTACCGCACCAACATCGTGGTCAACTTCCACCTTTCCTCCCGATCCCATGTTCGCCTCCTTTCCCTTGTCGCCCTCTCCACCTAGCCATGGGATTCCGACCAAGTCCAACTCCTCTGAGATGCCTTTCTCTCCAATGATGTAGACCTTCTTGCCAGTGTCCTTGAACTTGGTCTGCTCCAGGTACGCTGCAGCCGCAAAGGAAGAGGAGAAAATCTCCTCCGGCTGCACATCCAGCCCCAGGGAGGTGAACTTGGACTGGTACCCCGCGCGGCTCTTGGTGGAGTTGTTGGTCACAAAGAAGAGCCTCTTGCCCTGGGCCCGAAGCTTCTGCAAGACACCAGGCACACCAGGATCACCTGGGACAAGATGGTCGCCTTTCCACAGGACTCCGTCACAGTCAAAGATGAACACATCCACTGCGTCCAGGAGCCTAGAAGGCTCACGCAATCTTTCAACGCTCATAGCGATGCTCACAGCGTGCCCGTAGACTATATTGTACTGCAGGTGTATGTGTGTATGTGTGTTTACAGGTGCTGTGCTACTTGAATACGCGCAGACATCACTAAGCTCTGGTTTGTCGGAATCTCTGTGCTCCCAGTTAAGGAGAGGAACGCAGGTATACGTGTGGATTCTGAGTAGTTTGTGGAGCCAACAGGCTTTGTCTCAGATGACGGCAAGTCTCTCCAGCGTTCAACTCGGCAAGCGGCTTCCGTGACCGGGAGAAACTTCCAGCGGTGACAAACCACATGCAACAATATGCAGTCCTTCTCTCGTCTCTGACCACAGCAGCCTTTTGTTTGAACCTCGTCAGGTCTCTCCATGCTCCCGGGTTTCAACCCGTGCGCTGAAACTGGCCATAAGCCCTTGCCACGGAAAACCTGAGATACTTTGTACCTCAAGGCAAGCTAGTTTCATGCGGAAAAACTAAATATACATCAGCTCTGTGCTCTTTGTTGCCCTTTCGGGGAGGCACAAATGGCTAGCTGCATGCCCTACCCAGAGACTCTCAAATGAAATCGTTGATGGTGTCCACATAGAACTCTGGCTGGATGCCCTCCGTGCCCTTCTTGCGGGGTACGCGATCCAGAAGCTCGTCCTCGCTCGTGACACCAGAGAGCGTCAGACAGGTCTTCAAGCCATTGTTTCGCCCGAAGGCGATGTCCGTGTCAAGCCTGTCCCCAACCATGCAAATGCGCGAGCGGTCGGAGATGCCATATTTCTCCGCAATGTAGTCGATCATGAGGGGCGCAGGCTTGCCGACCACTGTAGGCTCCCGTCCAGTGCAGCCTGACACTGCTCCCACCATGGTACCATTCCCGGCCCATTCTTGAGCATCTGTCAAGTGCGTGACACGGTCCATGTTTGTTGCGATGAACTCGCATCCGGGCAGCTCGTTCAAACAGAGCTGAGCATATTGGAGCTTGTGGTAGTTGATGTGCCGGTCAAAGCCTACGACTACCGCACCGACATCGTGGTCAACGTCCACCTTTCCTCCCGATCCCATGTTTGGCTCCTTTCCCTTGTCGCCCTCTCCACCTAGCCATGGGATTCCGACCAAGTCCAACTCCTCTGAGATGCCTTTCTCTCCAATGATGTAGACCTTCTTGCCAGTGTCCTTGAACTTGGTCTGCTCCAGGTACGCTGCAGCCGCAAAGGAAGAGGAGAAAATCTCCTCCGGCTGCACATCCAGCCCAAGGGAGGTGAACTTGGACTGGTACCCCGCGCGGCTCTTGGTGGAGTTGTTGGTCACAAAGAAGAGCCTCTTGCCCTGGGCCCGAAGCTGGGTAATCACCTGGCTGGGTCAAAAGCCAAAAATCCAACCACTAAAACGGGATGGTGCACTTACCTGCCAGTGCAATCCTAAAATATCCAACCGCTAAAATAGACTATCCCAATCCCAATCCCCCAGTGAACATTGCAATCCCCTAAAATGGGTTCCAAAAATGGGATGGTGCACCTAAATGGGTACCCTAAAAGCTTTCTCCCTAAAATGGGTGGTGAATTCACCTACCAACCCAAAATGGGATCCCATGGGTTTTGACAACCACAGCCACCTGTGGGATGCCCGGAATGATGGAGTCCCCGCGCCAGATCACACCATCGCAGTCGAAGATGAAGATGTCCACGTTGTTCACCAGGAACCCGGGCACCTGGAGCTTCTCGGCCTTGCTGAGAACCTCGGTTGCTTTCGAAAAGCTCCCCTGCAGAAGTGAATAACCTTTTAGTGGTCTAATTCGGAAAACCAACATTGGTTCCTGCTAAAAGTTTATAGCTTTTTTGTGGTCTAATTCGGAAAGCGACCAGAAGTTGGCAACAAGTTTTCAAGTCCTAACATGCCTTGGCAAACTGCGCCAAAGGAACCGTTGTGCTGGCGTTGGCGCGCGCTGATCTCCTCGCGCGGCTGGCTTGCCTGCAGATGAGTCCTGTGGCCAGGGCCGCCGCAACCGAGCCGCTGGAGCCGTAGCTTCTTCCGCTTGGCTTCGGCTGGGCACGGAGGTGCCCGATGGACGATGATTGCAAGGCCGGGCCGAGGGAGCTAAAAGCCAATGGAGTGCTCGACAGCATCCTGGAGGCCATGAGAATTGGGGCAACTGGAGCCAGATGGGAGGCTGAACGAGCAATTGGCCTGGGTCAAAAGCCAAAATTCCGTAGCCCCAGTGAACATCCCAATCCAACCACTAAAATAGACCAACATGGGTGGTGCACCTACCCCAACATGGCACCAGTGGTTTTGACCCACAGCCAATTGGCAATGCTCTGATGGCATACTGACACTGGGTCCGCATGGCTGCTGCACACCATCGATCCTGCTCTTTTCCTCCCAATTGCCATGTCCTGCCCCACATTGGACAACCCCGGCAACCATCTTTGGAAGCGGTGGACAAATCGAAACAAGTCCGTAGCTCCCAGAAATGAGTTGCTGTGGCCCCACTGAATTAAGGACGGTCGCCCCATCCTTGGCATTACCAACTGAGCGACGGCAAACAAACGAGCAAAACCATGACATGCTCAATGCCATGTGTATTTTCCAATGAGCTTTGAGACAAGAAAACTCACTTGTGCTCACGCACAGTTCTAAGGCTCCCTTACCAAGGAGAGGTATCTAGAAATACCTGATTAACAGTCAGCATTGTCCATGTAGCGCAAAGGCGAGAAAAAGCGCCACATCTGTGATGTGTTGCACAGGTGACAAGACCTCTTGAATTGCTGGGAAGGTGAGAAGGCAAGCCAGCGCTGGCGCGCCTGCTTCAGAGCAATCAATCTCATCGGTTCTCTGGATCGACATAAAAAGTGAAGTCATACCTTTCCCGAGCAGGCCAGGATTCATGTGCGACACTGCTTCACTCAAGCTTAGTGCAGTCTTGGGGCCTGCCACCTTCATTGCGTGCAATGCGTTCCTCTTGCAGTTCCGCGAGGTTCTCAGGGTTCGAACTCTGAGGCATCTGCGCAACACAAATTGTTTGCCATCGAGCGATTGCACATCTGCAACTTGCTCTTCCACTACCTTCGCGCCTGAACGCTGCTACGCTCTGGTGACTCTTGAGAGGACGGCGGAGAGTCTGGAGTTTGCTCCTGCTATTGGCCAATTGTCTGGCCCAAAGGCTGTGAGCGAGATCAGCTCAATCTGGAGGAAACTCGCAACCCGGCCTGCGCTCCCTCAGGGAGATGGTTGATTTGCAAATCCTCGCAATGCGGCTCACACATTGGTCCATCTATGATTGGTCGCGTTAAGAAATGGCCATGGGTCAACTGGCGAGTGATTCACTCGAAAGCTATGCAGCGCTCCCGCAGAGGAGTCCGCAGCCCAGATGGCTCCGGCGATCGCACCAGATGAGTGGGTGGCTCACGCTCTGGTGTAGCCTTGACGCACGCAGCTGTCTGACTCAAGGTGACGTCGAATTCTGCGCCTCCAAATCTTCTGGCGGCTTGTTCTCCTGGTTGCTCTCCTTGCCATTGAGCGGTGCGGCGTCCAAGCACAAACGGCTCTTCTCTGTCTCGCAGTCTCACATCTCACAGGCGGTCCATGGACTCGCTCATGCTCGTGCCCTGGGTGTCAGTTCTTTGGAGGCGTCGACCCTGTGGCGAGCACTCTACGTTTGCAAGAACAAAGGAACCTATGAGCAGTCATGTCAATGTGCCACAGCAGAAGCACCTCGCTCACCGAAGCAGGCGTGGCGCGTGAATCTGTCGAAGAAGGGCTTACCTCACCATTCTCGTTTTGGCTTCCAACTAGCAAGCAAACCAAGAGCACCGAAGACAGTCCAAAGTGCTGTGGCAATGAACGACCGCGCAACGGATCAGTTGCAAGCTGCCGATTGACCTTCAGCCGAGCTTCCTGTCTTCGATATCTAATATTCCTAGGGGGCGTCGCAGCCGTTGCTGCAGTGTCTGGATCGTGAAAGATTTCGAACTCAGGAGCAGGTCGCTTCCGGGGGACCTGGGCTGCGTGATGCATGCGATGCACATCACGCAAGCCTACTTAACGCATGAAATTCTGCCCCCAGGAGCGAAGCTTCATGCGGGGAAATCTGCAGACGTTCCGCCAAGTGCACTTCGCCACCGCTCAGCCGCTCGTAGACTAAGCGCAGTGCTAGGGAGCCCAGGCCTGAGCAGAATGACTCTTGCCTCGACGTGTCGACATTGGGCACATAAGGCTGCCACCCAGCGTCCCGCGCCTTATGCTACCGTGATACATGTGCCAGGACCCAAACAACCTGCAACAGAGCGAGCACGTTCAGCTACCAAGGATGCTACGCAATGTTATTCCGCGTCATGATTCCAATTAACAAACTGCAGTGTGCCCGCAAAAGCGCGAAAGCGCAAACCATCCAACACAAATGAGGACGCTGTGAAGGCCCCTGCGGTTGCGCTAGTGCAACTTGTGTGAAGAGCAGATGGCGCATACGCAGTGCTTTCAGTCGCAAGGGTGCCGCAGCTGCGTTCACCGCGCGTGCTGTTCGGGTAGCTTGTTGCAGTTGCGCCCTGAGAAGCTCAGCTCCTTGCGAGAACTGCCTCGTGGCCTTCACTACAGCTAAGCATCGTGTTGGTGCTCTGCTGCTACTGCTCCTAGTACTGCTGCTTCTAGCACAAAGACTTCTGCCACAATTTACTACATCTACTTACTGCTTACTCCTGACTACCTACTACTTAGCACTTACTCCTTTCCCCGTACTGCTGGCTATCTATGTACTACTTACTACATACTACTTACTACTTACTACTTTCTACGACGACATGACGAACCCTCAGGGGGTAGTCCTAAAAAATGCGCATAGTGACCCATCGAAAAGCCGCACCCTGCGCAGTTGCGTGCATCGGCGAAGGCTTGCCGATGTTCTAAGGGCAGACTGTTTGATATCAGGCGCGGGTGCTAAAACGCTGGCAGGCGCGAGGGAATCTGAGCGCGTGAGGCCCCCTGGAAGAGAGTCTCCGGGCAAACCACAAGTGCTGGCCGTACTACTACTACTTCTTTTACTACTGCTGCTACTGCTTCTGCTACTACTACTACTACTACTACTACTATTACTACTGCTGCTACTACTTCTACTACTACGTTTGCTACTTTTACTACAGCTGCTGCTGCTGCTGCTACTACTACTACTACTATTACTACTACTACTACTACTACTACTACTACTACTACTACTACTACTGCTACTCCTACTACTACTACTACTACTACTACTACTACTACTACTACTACTACTACTACTACTACTACTACTACTACTATGAGGCTGCTGCTGCCACTACACCAATTACACTACTGCTGCAGCTGCTGCTTCTCCTACCAATTAGACTACCACCGCAGCTGCTGCTGCTGCTCCTCCTCCTTTTGCTCCTACTACTACGGCTGCTTCTGCTACTCCTACTGTGACTACACGAATACTATGCGCAGAAACTGCTACCGCGACAAATTCTTACAGCGAGAGCTAAAGGCAAATGAACCATGTCAAAGCGGCACTTGAGAGTCTATGAGAAGCCACGGTAAGCCTGAGATCCCGGCCCTGAGACCGAGGAACTAGAGTTTCCACAAGCTGTGATGCTCGATCTCTGCCTAGGTTGGCTAAAACAAAAGCCAACACCGCATGTGTGGCTGACACGAGTCTCTGCGTCGAAAAGCATGAACCTCGAGCAACCTAAGGTTTCAAGCCTTTCTAAGTTGCCTCTGGATGAAACTGCTTAGCAAGGGCGCCTTGGCTCCAAAATATAGAAGCTTCCTGTGTGTTATGACGCTTCCAAATAATGCGATCTGTTCCGTGCCCCTCCCCATGTCCAAGCAGTGGAATTCTAGGCCAACATCTTGCCTTGAACATTCTTGCACCCACTCCACTCGGAACAACTTGACTTTAGCCAAAAATGGGAATATGCACTTAGACACCACACATCATCTGAGAACCCTCGGTCTTGGTACATGAATAGAGGGTGTTGGTGAGTGACGTTTTGTAGACCAAATTTCACCACAGGGTGGAGCGACAGCTTGCCCAAAGCGCGATCCACTGCAAAAGTCTTTGCAAAGTAGAGAACCCCTATCAGTCAAAGCACTGGCAACCGTACAACGGTGTTTTGCTCTAAGGCGTCGCGTGAAATGTTGCCCCGAGCTGGAGGTAATAAAGTTCCCATCAATTCGGGTGTGTGGTGTGTGAGTGCGTGGGTGTCTTGCAGCAGATGGAAAGCGACACTTGAGAGTCTATGAGAAGCCACGGTAAGCCTGAGATCCCTGCCCTGAGATCGAGGAACTAGAGTTTCCACAAGCTGTGATGCTCGATCTCTGCCTAGGTTGGTTAAAACAAAAACAACAGACCAACACCACATGTCCGGCTGATCAATCGGAGTGCCTGTGATTCCAATCCTATTCGCAACATGGGACGTGGCAGTGGGTGAAACATTTGTACCCAAAATAAAATGGGTTGCCCTGGCAAATGGAAACATGGATTAAACCTGTGGTCCCATGGCTTTTGACCCACAGCTGGGCTCACTGCTCCCGCAGCTCTTTGCCAGCCTGATGCTTTGCCCATGAGCTGGACACTAACGTCATGGCCACGGCCTCTTTGTCGGCTTCCTTGGCACGCCTCAAGTCGACTTTGCGATCAGTTTGCAAGCTGAACGTGAGGCACTTGCTCAAAACCCGGTAGTAAAATGGTCGTAATCCCAGAACCATGCTTCAAGAAGTAAGAAGGCGGATATCCGCAGCTATTTATGGCTGGGATCGTCCCTTGCTAACCTTCATCTGCCCGGGTTTTGGTTGTGGCTCAAGTCGACTTTGCGATCAGTTTGCAAGCTACACGTGCATCTGGCCGTGGGTCAAAAATGGGTATCCGTTCTGGAACCTGGTAAATGGAACCAAGGACTAGAACCTGCGGTCCATTTCCTGGTGCTTTGATTTTGACCCATACCCATCTCACAAACATAGACTTCGTCGGGCATGGGCCGGTGAGCATGTATGTCAACACGCATCGACTCCCAGGGCGTGGCAAAGCACTGGCTGGTACTGCGTTCTCTTGCAGAGCTCCTGGAATGCCATGGGCTCATCCTGATATGGGGTCAATTCCTATGCCGAGCCCAAAGGGGGCGGAGGAACGCCCATGTACCACGAACATTTTGATGTTCAGGGGTTTGCTGGGTTTGGACCACCGCAGCCATATTTGCGCATGGACTGATTCAGCGTGATATGCTCGGTCCTTGAGCTGGCCGGATGCCATGCTGCCTGCGAGCATCTCAAGTGTGTCACTTCCTTTGCTCTTCAGATCCCACAGATTCAGCGCCGCTGAAGATTCTCGGGGCCGTTAAAAAAAACAACACGTGACTAAACGCTTGGAAGGATTGGACTTCGTCTCGGCTTGGGCAAACCCAAGCTGGCCTGGCCATCATTCTGATCGTTTGAGGCTTCTAAACGCCCGGCAGCTTCAGCCTAAAACTCCGCGGGTCTGTCTATGCAGCTCATGGACATAAGGTTGATGCCATGAGGTGTCAATCAAAGCCATCCACGTGAGCGGCGATTCATGTATACACACTGTCATGATGCAAAACGAATCAGCTCATCGCACAGAGGCTTTGAGTCGTGCAACCCCTTTGTCAACTCTAGCATGCACACCTAGTGACGGGATACTGAATTGTGACGGACGAATTAAAAGGCAAGGGCCGCTGCTTGCAGTGAATTGGCTTGCTTGTCACAAGCACCAGGTAGTTCAGCTACAGGCGAGCCGATGTCGGTTCATCTTGCCAGCCTTGCTCATCAGGCCGGCGTTTGGCGTCGAAGCTGATTGGCCTTGCAGGATCTGGCTCCTGCAGGTCACAAGTGCACAGTCCACTTCAAGCATGTACATCCTCAGGGTGAAGAGCTGCCTAGTGCCTTGTGCAACATCTTTCTACCGTGCAGTCCAGTCCAGTGAGTAAGTTTGGCAAAGGAATTAACTGGTCAAAGTGGTATCATCCTCACTTATTGTAGCCGATTGTAGCCTTTCTTGTTGCTGGATATGCTGTCTGCAGAAAGGGTCTGCAGAAAGGAACTGTCTAATGCTGCTGTGGTGCCGTGTGATGCCACATGCTGGCTGCACATCTTAGGACCTCGTTGACGGCAATGCGGAAGCCGCCTGGGAACGCATCGCAAATCCGCCCTGGTGACTCTGCAGAGACGACCGGGTGCAGCCTCGTCTTGGTCAAGGGCACTTGACGCGGTGCATGCCTTGATCGACACAAAGCCGGAGAGAGAATCGGCACTGAGGAAACACCACAAACTTGAAACCCTCGAACCCCGCAGTTGCGCAGAATCGCAGCTTCTCGGTTGCTTTCTGCTCCCCTGCGAAAAGTGAATAACATTTAGTTGCTTAATTCGGAAAGCATCCAAAAGTGGGCAAAAGGTTGAAGTCATAACATCCTTTGGCAAAATGCGCCCAAAGATTTACTACATCTACTTACCACTTACTACGTACTACCTACTACTTACTACAACGATGACGACCCCCCACCACTACCAGCAAAATGCGCCAAAGGCTTGGCTCCATTTACCAGGGCAACCCATTTTGGGGTTTCCCTATTTTTGACCGGCCACAGCCAAATGCGAAAGCCAAACACCAGCCAAGCGCCGGACCGCGGGCGAGCGCCGCTTGCTCCGCTTCCGCTTCATCCTGGCGATCCATCGCTGCCAGGGGCCATGGGTCAAAAGCCAAGTAGGCCCAGTGAACCTCCCAATCCCCTAAAAATTGGGATGGTGCACCTACATGGGTACCCTAAAACCTTACTCCCATGGATCCCACTGGAATAGGTTCCAAAATGGGTGGTGCACCGCTAAGCCCCGAGAACGGTACCATTGGTTTTGACCCGCTACGTTGATCGCATCGATCCCAACTCGGCCGCTCCTCCAGCTGCTGGAGGTCTTCGTTCACACACCGCTGCCTGGGGCAAAGTGGCGTATGGGTCAAAATGAAACCACCAGCAAATGGACCGCAGGTCTTAGTCCTTGGCAACTCATTCACCAGGGCAACCCAGTTTGGGGTTAACTTTTCTTTGGTTCCATGTACCAGGGTTTCATTTTGGGTACCTATTTTTGACCCACAGCCAAATGTGCGAAAGTGCGAAGCGCAACGCCTTTCAAAGTCAAATGGGTACGGGGCACAAAGATGTACCAAAATGGCACCCTGGTAAATGGAACCAGAGTAAAACCTGCGTAACCTAGCCACACCCAAATCGGCAAAGTTCCAAGTCAGATCGGCGATACGTAACCAAAATGGGCTACCCTGGTAAATGGAATCAAGGACTAAAACCTGTGGTCCATATCCTGGTGGTTTAATTTTGACCCACACCCAAGTGGCAAGTTCTATCTTTGGTTTGCAAGACTCAGTCAACCTCAGACGGCACAGGACTGTAAGCCGCCGGCGCACCATGTAGAATCTTCAGGGCAGCATCACGGATCACTGCCTGGCGCCGTGAAAAGTGCGACTGAGAACGATCCCTGCCTGAACCTCTTGATGCTGTGCCAGGGCTGCTTCAGTACCTCACAAACTGCAAGAACATGAGTCGTGCGCAGGTTCCTACGAAGGTGTGCGTGCTCAGGCAGCAGCGGCAAGACTCGAACTGGTAGAGCTGGCCAAGCGCCGATTCCACTGCGAATACTGAAGATTTGGCCTCAGCAGAGTTCTTCGAAATGTTGCAACTAGAATGACGAGATGTGGCCGCTGGCAATGTCTTCGACTGATGCCAACCCAGCCTGCGCTTTACATGAACAGATATGAATGGCGGCCAACGCTCAAGGGAGCAAAGCTGCAACTCTAGACATCTCAAACTTCAAAAATATGTAGAGAGCAAACATGCTCTGTCGTAGGCGAAAAGCTTGACATGACTTCTCCCCAGCGCCTGCAGCAAAGCTCGGGCACGTGCAGGGTAGACCTCAAGATCCGATGGACGTGACTGCAACATGAGTTCGTTGCGTGAAGCGCCAACCTGAACGGGTCACGGTACGGGTGCATCTCAACGCACCGATCAGGGCATTGCCAAGATCTAAAATTTTCTGGGAAAGCTGCCCCAGGAATCCGGCACAGTGGGAGCGCCTGGCATGCAGAAGCACCGAGTTTTCGTACCCCCAGTGAACATCCCAATCCCCACTAAAATAGGTACTAAAATGGAGGTGCACGGTGCACCTACCCCAAAATGGCACCATTGGTTTTGACAACCACAGCCACATCGCGCCTCTGGCGTTGCACCGAAGTTGAGTCTGGGCATAAGGCACTCAAACAGCGCCGCCTGCATACTGCACATGGCTGGCTGTAGGTCAAGAATAGGTACCCAAATGGATCCCTGGTAAATGGACTTCTGGTTTTGTGGTGTAATTTTAACCCATGCCGAGCTCGTTTCTTGCACAGAAACACTCTCCCGTCCGATCAAATGCCCCTCCCATTGGCCCTCGAACTATTGGCAATGCGGCTTGTTGACTCAGCAAGATGAAAGTCAGAACCTGCCCGGAGCTTCCAACCCGAACGAGCGCGCCATCTCGTGCCATCGAAGTCTTTCGCAAAGCTGGCGCACCTGTGGCACAAGGACCAGACTCACGAACAAGAGCCGCGAGAAGCAAAGATTCATTGCAAAGCCGAAAGGAAATGCCGCAAGAAGACTTCTTGGAGTAACATGGAGAAACTCTTCGTAGCTCGGCAAGGGAAGCACGCGTGCTGGCGATTCCAATTCTAGCATCACTCTTGCGTCGTGGAAGTGAGTGACCAAGGTGCTCCCCGAAACTGATGCATGACAAATGGACACGCAGTCTGGCTGCACCAGCTCGAGCGTTCGTGCGTCTGAGTTGCCCAACATAATCTTGAACTATTTGCGTGTCTGTAGGCCAGCTTCTGCTGGGGCTTTGTGGCTTGGTGGTTCATACAGCAGTGTTTCTGCGACCTTGCGGATAGCTTCTGTGCCGCTTCACCATGTGCAAAGGGCCAAGATTGCCGCCAGTTGCGCAGCTGCATCTGTGGTGGGCACTGCCGTGGCTTTGTAGTGCTTGGCTCTCAGCGCTGCTCTAGGAGCCCTCTTGGTGCACTCAGGGAATTTCAAGGCCCACATGAGGCTTCCGCCATACCGCAGTAGGTGGCAGCCATGCCCTGCAAGCCTTGCCTCGGTCGCTGGGTCAAAAAGAGGTATCTAGAATGGAATGCTGGTAAAGGGAAGCATGGACTAAAACCTGCGGTCCCCTGGTGGTTTGATTTTGACCCATACCCATATTAATTCGGATTGGTGAACGCCAAGGCCAGCACAGGGATCCCCGTGACGCGGCGAAGGCAGTTGCAACTCCTGAACCAAGTTGAAATGGCAGGTGGCTATGGGTTAAAATCCCGGTGCCCCGGTGAACACCCGAAAAGCCTAAAAAAAAAACGTGGAGTGGTAACCATCCCCAAAAAGGCACCTTAGGTTTTGACCCACAACCATGTCGCGACGCGCTGCCAAGGGCCCAACTACCTGCAGATGTCTCGGCCATCAGCTCACGGAGTGCCAGCGCGGCCCAGAAACGCCGATGCCTCAGCGGAGCAATGCTCTCGCAGCGGCGCAGAAGCATCAAGAGTTGGCTGTGGGTCAAAATCCAAATCGTACCCCCAGTAAACATCCCAATCCAACCACTAAAATAGGTTCTAACATGGGTGGTGAATTCACCTACCCCAAAATGGCACCATTGGTTTTGACCCACAGCCAGTTGAGGAGGCTACACCGTCGTCACTCGTTCGCGATCCTGGCATTGGTGATAAACTTCCCGAAATGTGGGTGATGGACATGTTGGCCACTGATGGTATCACAGCAAGCCCACACAAACAAACTGCAGTCCTGCCGCCAATCATTGGTGCCAGTTGAGAGAGGCCCGCGATGGCCCATGGACTGTCGGGGGCAGCATGCACCCACAGCACGACCCAAGCAGTCTGCGTTCACAGGAACATGCCGGACTTCTGCACTACGTGAAAGGTGGCGTGCAGCTTAGACGGAGGCAACAATTGCTACAGGCTACAGTCAAGTCCGCAGAGCCACAGAAAGCGAAAAACGCAGAAAACGCGGACTATGTTCGGTCAACCCACCGAAAGTTCGCGGAAGGTTCCCCTTTTCATGACTGCGCAAGATTTACAAAAAGGAACGCGGATTGTTTGAGCTCGACCCCCCAAAGGCCGTAAAGGTTTGCACGCCCAAAGCGAAACTCGTTGAAAAGCACGCATTTGCTCGCTGCTGTTCCTCCAATCTCGCGCGTTCCATCTTTTTCGTAGCTTTTTCACGCGCAGTGCACCTACGTAGTCTTGAGGATCATGTGCAGGTGCATGCATTCTTGGAGAGTCCAGTACTCTGGAAATTGTCGTTACACTTCCTTTAACTATTGCCAAGGCAACCATTCCCGCAGCCTATCGTTTTTTGTTTCGTGTCGTACAAACTACCCTGGCGTTTTAGTGCATGTTGCACCTGTCTCATGTTTGACTTGCTCTGGCCAGCGAAACCAGGCTCTTTGATTTCACGTCGCTCACTTTGGGCGCAAATCAGCATCACCGATCGCAGCGATTTTTCATCTCAGGCATTCATTACCGAAGTTTCCGGCCATGCACACCGGGAAGAGTGCGGCTGACGCCCCTTGCTAAGTTCGCTCACATACTCTAAACCTACATCTAATTTATCCAATCAATTGATTTCTGTTTCTCATGCTACGCCGCTGTTTGTGCTTTAGCTGTGAAGGGCTGAGGTTGCATTGCTCATCCCTATCCGACTCTATCCCCTTCTCTGCCTGTTTCCTGCTCCACTGCAGCTCCCCCCTGTGTTGATTTTCTCATAACAGCCAGAGGCGTGTCGCTATGCCAGGATTGCATGTAGGCTGACTCTTGTCTTGGAACCCACCTGCTTCAGCAAGAAGTCGGGCGACACGCCGACCGCACTTGCAACGGCCTCGCGGGTGAAATGTGGCTGTGGGTCACAACCCTGTACCCCTGGTGAACATCAAAGTAGGTGGCAAATGGATGTCCATCCACCCCAAAATGGAGCCATAGGCTATGCCCCATGGCCATGTGTCTGACGCTGTTGCCTCAGATTTTGAGCTGAGTCAGGACATGTGTCACTCAGACCAAAGCTCGGTCTCGGGGTTGAAGCTTCTCATAGTAGGTGATGTATCGAGACCAGTCCTTGCAGGTCAGTGGGCTCACTTGAGTCACTTGCTCAAAACCCGGTAGTAAATCGTCGCAATCCCAGAACCATGTAAAGAAATAAGAAGGCGGCCACAACTATTTCTGGCTGGGACTGCCCCTTACCAACCTTCATCTACCCGGGTTTTGATTGTGGCTCACTTGGACCTGGCTTGGACCTTGCAACCTGATGCTCGCGCTGGTTCATGCACTACTCGTATCCGTATCCTTCCGCTCGCGGCAAACACCCCCAAAGGAAGTAAGCGGCAGGCTGGCTCCATGCTGGTGGCAGGCGTCACCAAGAAGATGAGATGAAGATCGGAGTCTAGACCTCCAGACTTTGGCCAGGGCCAAAGATCTGTTGGTTCAAGCTGATGATATGAACTTTACTTAGGAACCCTTTGCTGGACATCATTTAGGTGGTGATTCATGTCCACCTTCTGAGATGGCTCCCTATTAACATTCATGGCCATATTGGACAAAGCTCCGGGATCATTTCATGCCCGCATGCCATGAAGGCTCATTTCGTTCATCTTGGCTCCGGGGAAACACTGTTGGTTTGTACGGCTGGTGGGAATGCCAAAGCGTGCAGCGAGTCCCAACCCAAGCAGAAAGCGGTTGCTCGCAAGCTCTCCGCAGTCAGCCAACATCCTAAGCTACTTCCTTCGTCAAGCGAAGCTTTGCTAAGGCTGGAGCACAAGCCTTGTCGTGCCCTTTGCAGGTCTTCAAAGACACTGAGCGCCTGAGAATCGCCACATAGTGCACAGCCTGCTTGAAGAGACGGAAACGCAGTTCGCGAGCAACGCCTCTGCCGGTCGGAGCGCAGAGTGGACCACACCGTCGCCAAGAGGAGTGGCCATCAGCATTGCCTCCAAATCGAACACGAGCAAGGGACAAACAAATCAAACAAATGGCTGTGGGTAACCAATGGTACCATTTTGGTTGGTAGGTGAATTCACCACCCACTTATGGGTACGATTTGGATTTTGACCCACAGCCAAATGACACAAGCGGACACCACGCAGAAAAACGGGGACCCGATGGTCCGGCGCTGAAAGCGCTTGGCCCTTTCAGCCTCCGGGGAGATCACGGGCTCAATACTCTGACTGGAGCCATAGTCCCCTGATTCGCCTGTGCAGGCAAAAACAAAAAAGAGAGGAAAACAACGCCACACATAGCCATGGATCAAATCCAAATCGTACCCCCAGTGAACATCAAAAAAACCCCACTAAAATAGGTACTAACATGGGTGGTGAATCGTCACACATACCCAGAGCATCTGTTGCAGAAGCTTCGACCTGCCCACCTGGCACCTGCAGCCGGTTCGGAGATGCTTCGTTCGCCTCCGATGTGTCTTGAAATTGGGGAAACCCCCCCAAAATCTGTGGAGTTGTTTGCTGGTTTCGCCAGAAACACACCCAAAATGGAGGGGCAAAGGCGTCGGCGTCTGACGCGATCTGAGGGTCTGACCATCTCGTCCACGCGCACCAGCTTTTGTGCCTCAAGGCTTCCTTCTCCCGACTTCCCCTTCGCCCTTTCGCCCCTCCCGTTTGGCTGTGGCTCAAAACCCTGGTACACCCCCCCTACCCCCAAGATTCCCTTTCAAAATGATCCAAACAAAACGGGGGGGTGACCCAAAAACGGGTATCTGGACTTTCACCCACACCCATTTTGGGTGTGGCTCGAAATTTACGAGCTTTTGGGCAAACCGCAGGTTTTAGCCTTTGGTTCCATTTACCAAGGGGGCCATTATAGTACATGTTTTTGAGCCACAGCCATTTCCCATTCCGACCCAATCAAGCGCCTTCAGGTACGACAACGCCCCCCTGATGTCTTGCAGCAAGTCTCTCGGAACATCCTCATCCTTGGCCAGCTTTCATCAGAGCGGCGTTTTGGCGCGCGTTTTGGCTGGGCTGTGCACCATCTGCGAAAGCCTGCAAGCTGCGAATGTGTCTTGTGACTGCTGGATGCCAGCATGCCTTCCCTGCTTTTCCTCATGAAAGCGCAAAAGGCTCCTGAAAGAAAAAAAAACACACAAATGGCTGTGGGTCAAAACCAATGGGATCCCATCTTGGGGTAGGTGCACCACCCATTTTAGAACCTATTCTATGGGGATTGGGCTGTTCACTGGGGGTACGATTTGGATTTTGACCCATGGCCAAATGACAGCTGCATGCATGTACCTCTCCTTGCGAATCCTCCTTCGAGATCAGCCATGGTGCGAATCAATCCAAGGCTCACAACTTCCAGAATGGCTCGGACCTGATGTGCTTCACACGATTGCGCCAGGCTGCGTTTTCATGAGATACTGTGGGTGGACCAAATCCTGCACCACCTAAGAATCCCTGGCATGATGATTCCCTTGTAAGTACCAACAAACGATGCTTTCCCATGGTTTCCAAGTGGTGCATGATTTGTTCAGGTGATATGGCCATGGGTCAAAACCAAAATCCCGTACCCCCAGTGAACATCCCAATCCAACCACTAAAATAGGTTCTAAAATGGGTGATGAATTCGCCTACCCACCAAAATAGGATCCCAAAGCTTTGGATTTCGGAGAGCGGCCAAGCGCTGGCCAGTCAAGGACGACCTCAGCCAGACGCACGTGGCATGTGCCGTCGGCGCGAAGTCAGGCCAGTGGCTTCAATGGCTGCATCTCCGCGGAGAAGAGTGACTCAGCCTCCGCTTCTCCAGCTGCCACGATGCGCTTGACAAAAGTGAAAGCCAGAAGTCACTGACCATGAACAACGCATGACAGCACTGATAAACGCGAAGAAGTCACTAACTATGAACAAAACAAATGACAAAACGTTTTGCGATGCTTGATGAGCGCACAGCAACCGGTCGCCTCCTCAATGTCTCGGGCTGTTCTGGCCATGACGACGCACTCCCCCTCACATCACACAGATTACCGCTGAGGCATGCAGAGCCACCGAGGCATGCAGAGCCACATCGCGCAAAGACAACATGAGCAATCGCGTTCAGCAAAGCAAGGCCTTCGTGTCGAGGCCCACTCGTCCTGCGCGCCTTGACACAAGCTTACCTTGCCTTCAAATACCATGACAATGATGCCAAGTAGGATCCATGCCCAGCCATCTGCCGGAATCGTATCGCATCCAAAGAGGCGCTTCCCACCTGGTGAAGTGACAAAAGGACACCTGCATGACACGAATCTGCCCTGATCGCTTCTGAGCATATATATATATATATTTATTTATGGCCATGGGTCAAAATCACATACCCCCAATGAACATCCCAATCCCCACTAAAATAGACTAAAATGGGTGGTGCACCTACCCCAATATGGTACCATTGGTTTTGACCCACTGCCATGTGTGTGTATATATATATATATATATATGCATGTCCCTCTCTTCCTCTATTCAGGGCCCAATATGGCATACCGCTGGCCATGTGCCTCATGTCTTATAAACACGCATGACAAAGGCCCTTCATCCATCTCCTTGCTTGAATGGCACACACGCTCCCACTTCTCTTTTGTCATGCCTTCATTGAGCGGATGATGACCCGACGCGCAGGCAGGTTCACCTTGGACACATGCTGGAAACTCAGTCGTATGGCCATGGATCAAAAGAAAAATCGTAACCCCAGTGAACATCCCAATCCCCACTAAAATAGGTACTAAAATGGGTGGTGCACCTACCCCAAAATGGGATCCCATTGGTTTTGACCCACAGCCGCATGACTCTGTGTACAACTCAGCCATACTATAGCCCTCTTGTTATGACGTGCGCTGCAGTACAGCTGAGCAAATAAGAAGTTTCACTTTCCTGAGCTGTCCTCAGATCCCCCTCTAAAAGATTAACTCTTGGTGGGCCAATTGAAAACACCACTAAACACTAAAAAGCTAAACATCTAAAAAGCTAAGGGGACTGCTGGGAGCCACCAAGTTGCGTTGCCCATCAAAGCAAGGTTATCCGCTTTCTTGGCATGGACATCCGCCTCTGTAACATTTGGGTTGTGGGTAGCTTCCTCCCTGACGTTCTCCCCTAGCTCACATCTGTGCCATGAGTGCCGCAGGCCAAAGCTTCAACAAAAAAATAAGTGATCTTCTTTGGGCGACTCGTCCCGTGCATTCCGTATGCGATATCTTCCGTGAAGTCAATGATGGGGTGGCATCGCTTGCTTGTCAATTCTGCCTTGTTGAAGTGTCATCTTCTTGTTTATGTCCGGATTCTAGTGCGTGCAAGCGCCTTTCAAAGTCTTAAGCAGCCAGCGCGCACTGGGTTTTCCTTCACGCTTGGAGTGCAGGGGTAGAACCTTCGAAGCGGATGTGAGCCTTCTACTGCCTTCTAGCTTTCCACCTTTTTCAAAGGATTGTGCGCGTGTGGTTGACTGATAACCCGTTGGTTTGCCTCAGATGTGTGGCAGGCACCGCGAAATACGTATGTGCCTGAGCATAAAGCATCATGTCTGCGCCCCGCCAGAAAGTGGCGACCAGACCATTCGCTTGCGGCTTTCACTGGGCCGTGCCAGTCACGAACTTTATCGTTGGTTTTCGATCGGCTAGATGGTTCTCGATTGACCAGATCATTGCTTGTCTGGCGGCGCTACATGCCGAGCCTGTTTGCTGATTGTACCTTTTGCGTGTGGGTGATTAATCTGGAATGGTTTCGTCCGCATAGAGGGCTTCGGCATGTTATAGTTGATGCTGGGTATGGGCGGTTGTCGCTTATGTTTTAATTATGACATTCAAAACGGCTGTCACAATGTCAACGCTGGATTATTCCTGAGGACCATACTGATCAGGGCAGTTTCGCTGTTGGTGGGGACTTGGCTCATTTTGGAGAAATTCCTTGGAATAGTTAGTATGTTCCTCGGGATGAATCCGAAGTTTGCGTTAACAGCAATGCAGGCAGCTATACCTTAAGCCACACTCCTAAAGGAATGCTGAGCTACATCTCCCCTGTAGCCTGAAATGTGCGTCTACCGAACCAGGTTCGTCATGCGAGGTATGAGACGTCAGAGCACCTCTTCCAGTTTAGGTTGATCATGTTGATCTCAACTGCTGTGTTTCAAAATGTGCATTTGACCAGCTATCCTCATGATCTTGCTTGTCGTTGCTTGGCCATTTCGCCAAGTATGGTACTCTTTGTCCAGCCCTAGTGTTGTGTTCGCTATTAAACATTTCAAGAGATTGTCCGGAGGAAACGGCACAAAAGAAGGCGAGTTAAAGCCTCAGGTTAATCGAGCACTGATTCATTGCCCTTCACAGCGCTTAGGCTGCGACACCCGCCGCAAGAGTAGAAGTTGCACACAGGCAACCTGAGGAGCTCGCTGCATTTTGCTCGCAACGTGTCAGAGGCTTCTCTGAGATGCGCGCACAGCACGCCTTTTCTGTACGCATCTTCCAGCAGGTTTCGTTCCTCCACCGTGAGGCCTCCCCGAGGGCCAAGATGTGACGCGCGGATAGCCAGTGATACTGTGGATGGACAAAATCCTGAATCACAAGGGAATCATCACTCCAGGGTTTCTTAGGTGGTGCAGGATTTCGTCCATCCACACTATCACCCAGGATTTGTGGAGGATCTGAAGTCTGGTAGCTGGAAAGGACCATTTGGGATGTTGGGAAGCCCTCTAGAAAAGCTGATCCGCACTGAGTTTCAAGGTCAGATTTCTGCATCTCTTCTATGGCACAGATTTGTTGGGCTGTCTGGCTGTGCTGCCCCCTCTCTCTCTCTCTGTGTCTCTGTCTCTTCTCCTTATTGTAATGACCGTTTACATTATGCAATGTGAGGTTCCGATGCTAGCCTAGATGCCAATCAAACGCGCAGTTGAGCATCCATTCCCCAGTACCTGATCTCCTATGACTTTCAACTAGAGAAAAAGAAGAAAAAACAGTAAAGTCCGAAGGCTAGAAGCTTGCTTTAACAAGTATTGGAGCTGCGCATCCGATGGTAAAAGTAGAGCGTGTAAATCCAAAATCTGGCATCTTCTTCAGGTTGCAATGTGGCATGGCCCGGGATTTGGCAAGCCCTCATGACTCGAGTCCCTACCCACCAGAGCACATGGCTCGAAGTGGCGTAGTGGCCTTGAGCATCCCCCTCCCCCAGTGGCCACCTTTCCCTCCCCTCCCCTAGGATTGTTGGGTTTTGGACAATTGACGGTTTTGTTGCCCCAACACACAACATCTAAAAATAAGATCTGCCTTGAGAAACCAATCCCAGCCGGGGAGAGAACCTGCGTGATGATAGGCGACACCTCTCGGCCTGGCGGATAAGAAAGGCCAGGCGTCTCCTAGAGGGATCCAGTGGCCCAATTCACAAGCAACATGGATGACAGGTGTTCCACATTTGCACTGCGCAAGACTAAGCTTTCTGCACTGTAGCTGCGAGGACGGGGCAAAGCCCTGATGGCCTGCTAACCCCGGGCAGGCGGCAAACGTGCGTCATAATCAAACCCGGTACAAAAATGATGAACCCAGGACCATGTAAAGAACTAGAAAGGCAGAATTCCGCAACTAATTCTGGCTGGATCTTTCCCTTACTAACCTTCACTTACCCGGGTATTGATTGTGACTCAAGTGGACTTGGCTGAAGCATTGAGGCAGCAGCGCTTGCTTCAGCTCTTCAACCAGTCTCAACCTTGGCCCATCTCCCGGAATTCCCCATGGAGCACGGGGCGCGCTCGCATTCCTGAGGAGCAATCCTGCCGTTCTGCGCCTGGGAGAAAAAGAAGAAACAAAAAACACCAATAGACAAAAATCCGACGGCTGGGAGCTGGCCTCCTCAGATGGCGGCCCTGGCATGCTCAGGTCTTCAGCTCACGTGTCGCAGCTTTTCGGCTGAGGGATTTGAATGTTGGTCATCGTACGTCCGCTCCATAGAGTTTGGGTTCTCGTCGGATCCAGTTGGCGCCAGGCGCACAACTCCAGCTGCATGTCAGCTCGACCGCGACGCTGGTCTCTGGGCACCGCGCCCTTCGCAAGCTTTGGGAGCTCCTCCGCCAGCAGGGACGCCGCCTTCTCACACCAGTCCTGTCCGGCTGGGCT